TGGTTGTTGCCTAGAAGGAAGGAGCTTACAGCATTTCTAAAAAGTTGCAGAGGTATTAGAAGTAAAACTGACGCTTTTTTAATTTCACCATAGTCTGCCCTGGTCTAAACAATATATTTGAAAGAGAGTAAATAATATATATTGTACTGAATATTATCATTAGTATTATACAACATTACCTTGTTATACATTGTTACATAAACATATGAGCCGTGGTGGAATGCAGTATTGCAGGCTAGTTCTGCTGACTGCCGATTGTCAGCAGTTCGGCAGTTTGAATCTCACCAAGTTCAAGGTTGACTCAGCCTTCCATCCTTCCAAGGTCGGTAAAATGAGGACCTAGATTGTTGGGGGGGCAATATGCTGACTCGGTAAATTGCTTAGAGAAGGCTGTAAAGCACTAGGAAGCGGTGTCATTGCTATTGCTATATTCATTTAGTTTCTCTAGAGCAGGGGTAGGCAACCTTGGCTCTTTTATGATTCGTGGACTTCAACTCCCAGAATTCCTGAGCCAGCATTGCAGCATTGCTGGCTTAGGAATTCTGGGAGTTGAAGTCCACGAGTCATAAAAGAGCCAAGGTTGCCTACCCCTTCTCTAGAGATTTCTCCCATCTTGATTTTAAAAAATAAGATGGCAATCCTCCCCATAGGCTGCATCAGTCACATTGAAAATGTTAGGATTTTAAAAAATCAAAATTGCGCATAAGATTGCAATCTGCCTACTTAATAAAATCAATAAATATTTTCTTTGGCAATTTAAATCTATAGACATGAGCAGTTATTCATGAAAAGCAAATACATATTCATTAAAAATATTAAACATGTAATATTTTATTCAAGTTGTACTCAGATGCCACAACTTACATTTAGAAAATAAAAGTTAAGTTATTGGTGAGTGGCTTAAATGTCACACATTTTTTTTTAATAGAAGTATATGAAAACTTGCACTTTAACTTAAAGTGCTGACACCTATTGTGTACAGTTTGGTTTTTTAAAATAATATCAAATCCTTCTAGTTGTTATAGTCGTAAAAAGGATAGTGTGAAATTGATGCTGTTATAGTATAACAATAAGGACGTGACTCATGTATTTTATGTACACATGCATTCAACTGTAGTGACAAATGGCTTCATGCTGTGTGATTAAATGCATATTAGCGTTTGCCCTAGGCATTTGATTATTACCATCTTTACTTCATTACATTTCCACACTATATGGCTATATAATTTATAAGATAATACAGACATCACTTTGTTGCTGATAGGAATTATTCTGTTTTATGGATGGTGTCCTTTAATTTTGCCTTTCATGGATTATAAAATTGGTTAATATCTGCTGAAGTGAATCACTGGAGAAGCAAATAAAGATGTTGGCCTCAGGTCACCGTGTCATTTGTGATACTGGCAAAATCTTACTGGCTCATTTATCCCTGTACATGATTGATAATACCATGGGTTAAATGGAGAAAGCTTTGCTTCCATTAAAGGATCATCACAAGTGAAGACCTCCCACTTAAAAGTCAGGCATGATGAGATGACAAGAGTCTATCTACAGGTCAAATTAAATAACTTAAATAATTTAAGTGAAATGACAGTATAATTTGTCCATCCTGTGTTATTACCTTGACCCCTATCAGACTTACTGCTTTACTTTCTAATGCAGATTATTTAATATGTAATTTTTAATAAGTGTTCAAATATGTGAAAACAAACGCAGTACTTAAGGGTGTGGTAAAAACATATTTTTATAATGCATTTTCATTGTAAAAAGAAAACTTTTACCATGAACTATTGGCTAAACTGAAAATCAGTAATAAAAGAGTACATTCAATGGATATTTCAGTGCAGGGATTTTAATCATTTTTTTCTTTTTCTTTTTTGATATATTCATGTAAAATGAAATATTGTGACAAGAAAATGATTGTCTAAAATTATAACAGACATTTTCCTTTTAAAAATTATATATTTTTACAGTTATATTAAAATGTTTTCTTTCGTAACTGCCCCTTTTGCTATATTTTTATACAAAATAATGTCAGCAATTCAGATAACTTACAGAAAAGCATTCTTTATTACAAACATAATAAAACAAATCATTTATTTAATATGATCAAAGGGCACTGAATGTGGATATTTCACATCAATCAATTTTAACTTGTATTTATTTATTAGACTTGTTTGCCACCTACTGTACTTTGCTTTCAGGTGACTCTCTTTTAACTGTTTTGCTTTCAGAAGGCATTATTCCATTGCTTTGGAAAGTTTAGAATACATCTGATTTGTGATATTTCTATTACTGGTTAACTTACTAAAAGCCAGGGTTTTTTTTCTCATAGAACGCCCAGAACGGAGTTCCGGCACCTTTTTTGGATGGAACTTGTAGGGTAGGCAAGGCGGGTTGTATGAAGTGTGTGAGTTCTGGCACTTTTTTTTTTTTTTTTTAAGAAAAAAAGCACTGCTAAAAACTATAATGTTTTTCTGCATAGGTACAAAGCACTTTGGTCATAATATTTGATTAAAATCAGATGAATAATATTGTGAATTGCTACTTTGTAAAACTAAATATAGATTTTTATTGCAGAACATTGAGATTACATTATTGAAATAACTTTATATGTCAGGTATATAATAGGCTATCAGCTCAGGGAAAGGTAAAGGATTATTTGATTTCCAAATAAAGTTAGGTTATTTAATCTAAAATATAGTTACTTTTTATGCTAAATTTTGTTTCCTGAGCAATTAATTTGTTTTAAAAATATTTGCCCGGTTTTCACTGAAATATCTAAGGCAGCTAATAGTAGCCATGTTTGCAATCACATTGAACTATAATTTGATTTGTTTGTGTTTGGCTTAATGCACTTCATGAATGTTTATAAAGTATGGTTTAGCATATTGTGTGAACCCATCAATTGTACTTTAGTCATATATCATAACTGAAGAAATTTTGGCTGAGCAAAATGAACTGTGAATTCAGTATCTAGACAAGTGCAATAATAATATTGACTACGCAGTAGAAAAATGCAGACCTAAAGGAAAAACCAGATTAATACTGATCCACAGATACATTATATTAAAAAATATTTCTATAGTACTGCTCTAGAATTCAATATCAAGATCAGTCTCCCATAACCCAAAAGTCTTCTACAAACAAACAAAAAACAATTTAATGGGATAGAATGCCACCATAGAGAAATGGTGTGACTTCCTAAGGGAGTCTGATTCAACTGATCAAACTACAAACACTGCTGTTTGTATCTATCCAAGCTCCATATTCGTCAGACTTCAGTAGGACACAAAATAAAAGCTTCATTCAATATGTTAATGAGTGGAAAAATAAAGGTGGAAGAAGTGATTTACTGAAAGGAAGTATCTCACACAAGATTATCAGCATTATCAGCAAATTCTTAAAATATTTCAATTTTAAGTCTTTCTTACATATAAAAATACCAATGATTTAAAATAAACTTCTTTGACTTATGTAGTTTTATACTTACATCCTGTATTTCATATTTATACCTACATACTATGGCTATTGTACAATTTTTAATAGCTGGTAAGGTACTTTCTAAAACCGGTCAACATTTCAGGCAGATAAGCATATCAAATCATGGTTGATTTGATTATGGATCTTTCTACATGCAAGGTTGGTGCTAAATTCCACATAGAGTTTCAACAAGAAATTTATTTTTCCCCTGTTTCCTCTAAAATTGTGGGATAGTTTCCCTATTTCCTGGATCTCCCTCTCCATTTTTATAAGTCAAAGATGCTATGCATCTTGTCACCATTCCCCTATAGCTTTTTGATTATTCTAAGAAGTGGCTTTGTTTTAGATAAATTACATGGCTGCTTTGGGGAGGTTCAACTTTTTTCTTTACCTGAGAACCCCACAAATATAATAAATGTAAAACAGTGAAAGGAGCAGAGGGCATTAACTCTCAGTTTTAGTGTATACCAGTTGATCAGCAGGAAGGAGTACTGGCTTAGTGTTGTTTATGTATGGAGGCAGAACGAGAAGCAATGGATGAAAACAAGAGAGAACCAACGTAGAAATAAGGAGAAATTGTCTGACGGAACAATTAATTAGTGGAATGACTTGCCTTCAGATGTTGTGGGTGTTCCATCACTGGAGGTTGTTAAGAAGAGATTTGTCAGAAATGGTATAGGGTCTCCTGCTTGAGAAAGGGGTTGGACTAGAAGACCTCCAAAGTTCCTTCCAACTCTGTTATTCTGTTAAATATTTTGTTCTGTTAAAATCTGAAACATGAAAACAACTTCTAAATATATGTGCTTGAGGTCTCATTAATTTGACATCTATGTTGATGAAGACTGAACTGTTTCGTGTATGCAGGATCCAATCTTGAGTCGATCACTGAGACTAATGGTTTATTCTTCCAAGCTTTTGGGCTCATGCTGGAGTTCATCCTCAGGGAACTTCTCTCTCTCCAGAATGTGTCTGGAATCTTATGCTCAGCGCTCTAGAAAGTTCAGGGCATTGTATCACCTGCCAAACAAGAAAGAAGACCTTAACTCAGTATTTAGCACTTGTTGATGAAACACTTGGTATAGTCATGGTGTTGGGTTTGGAGATTGGCAAGTTGGTCTTCAAATTAGAGGCACGTTTGCCTCAAACTCAGTTTTTACTGTAGGTTGGTGTATATTTGTTACGATCCACATACTTCCTTATCACCCAGGATCTGTTTCTACTTTTGTTTCACATATATTTCACTCAAATATATGCTTTTTTTTCTGGCTCTGGCCACTTTTATATGAGAAGCCTCAGTATTTAAAGACAAATGTACTCTTTGATCTGAATAACAAGCATAAATCTGGGCACATTAGTTAATGTCATTCAAAGTTTGAAATCAAGGGGACACCCAGAGCTTCCCTTTTTCTCTGCCTTTATTTTTTTCTGCACCAACTAATCCAGGAGCGGGGGACTTGGTCAAACATTGTCTCTAATAATATTAATATTACATTAAGTAATAAAAAACTTCTTTTTAGATTCCATAGGTTAAATGGATGAAGATTTAGATAAAGAAATAGCAGCGTATTCCTTACAAAACTCCTCAGAAGCATTGCTTTCTATTCAGTTACTAGATTTTAAAACAACATTTCTGGAGGCAGTAGAAGAGCTGCGTATGAGAAGGGTAGGTGCACTTATTATTTATGTTTAGTTTTTGAATTATTTTCAAGTGTTGATGCAGTAAAATCAAGAAAATGAAATAAGATCTATTAAAACAAGCTAAAATAACTCAATTCCTAACCATCTCAAAGTATTGGAAACCCAAATCAAACAAAGTGGTCACTGGCAGAAAGATGTTTCCAGTTCTCTTCTATGTTCTTCATATTCAGACATGGTATATAGTACTACAATAGGAGTTTCAAGCTTAAGTTGTTGCAAGTGCCACATGAGAACTAGATTATCAGCCAGGAAGGTCTATGACAATTTGCCACAGCCAACTTGCCATGCCCAACTTGCCACAGATAATTCACCACAGGACAATTCTCCATGGGACAAGAATTACACTAATATCAAAGAAATGGTGGAATAAAATCATTAAAGAAAGAATGCAAAAAGAGGGACAGAATGAAGTGTGAATGATAATAATTAAAATATTTTTTATTTATTTTAAATAATTGAGTTGTTAAATTGTCCGACGGCGAGTTATCCCATGGCCGTGGCATAGCGAGTTGGCTGCAGCGAGCTGGCTGTGGCAAGTTGTCGCATTCCGTAGCCAGGAGACTACCATACTACAGATTTTCTCATATATAGAAACAAAAATTTGTAATAATAAAGAAAATGAACAGTATTAATGTATGCTGTTAAATGTAAATTTATTCAGCTAAAAATTGTATTAGATAATATAACCAGCTTTCATGTGGCACTTATAACAATTTAAAGTTAAAATTCCTATTGTAGTAACTGTATACCATGCCTGATTAAGAAGAACATAGAAAAGGCATTGAAATACTTTATAACTTCTCTCTGAACAAGGAGAGAACTTGAGATCATTCACAAATGCTCCAGACAGTTGCTCTCCATGAGAAGATTGCAAGACATTGGTCTTTAGAGCTCTGGGAGAAGAGGGAATAGCTATCTTGCTATTCTCAGTGTTTTTAAATTCACGTATTTCCTTTTCTAATCATTTCCCAAAAAATGCTCATTAATTGCTTTTCAGCTATTAGGAACCTTTGAATCAACATGTTTTATAGTACCAGGTGAGTTTCCTTCAATCCTTAGTGAAAGAAGTTTTAAATAAAAATTAAGGACTTAATTGTCTATGAAGTTTTTCAGTCATCCAGGTTATGGTTGTTCAAATGGCAATGTATTTGTTTTTGCTTGAATATATTTCATTTTAAGCAGGACTTAAAATTGATTAATTGATTAATTTTTTTTTTCCTGGAATATACAGCAAAAGAGTAATGAAACCTTTAAATTTAGAAGGTTACAAGCAGGGTCCAAATAAATTTGAAATAATATTTTTGAATGAATTATAAGACTCCTTCCTAAGTTAAAATGCTTTTATTCTAAATTCTTTAAAAAATAAGATACTGTAAGACAGGGGTGTCAAACTGCCTTCCCGCAGGCCAGATGCATCATAGTGAAACCATGCCCATCCCATTACTGGCAATGGCAAAAAAGTCACGATATGTCATGACACATCACGTGACGTTGCGAGCTTGACACCCCTGCTGTAAGACTTTAAAAATTGTACCTAGAGGGAGTTAGAAGGAACTAAACATTACAATTAAAGAAGAGAGATGCTCAAATTTGACTTACTAATATAGAATGAAGCAAAATATTTCAACATTGGACATATTGAAGGATATTTTTGAACAATGGGTCCACAAGTTAATTTCAAGAATGTCTGCCTTTATAGATAGACTGTTTTAAAAGAAGCTACAGGAGATGAACAAGTATTATCTGACATGACTGAGACTGATTCAAAAGCGGATTTAAAAATTAGGCTACAAGAGTGACATGGCAAAAGTTCTTATACTGGACATAGAAAAGTAACTGATTGATGTCTTATTAATTAAAAGGATATGCAAATAATAAACTAAGAGTGTGATCTGAATAATTTTCCTATATTGGATTTACCAAAGAGCTTTGGTAAATTAAAGCTTTGAAGAATTTTGTGAGAAGGGATAAAGAAAAAGAAATTAAAATCTAGGGCATTATTAGAAAGGACTAAAGATCAAGATTGTTAGAAGTAAAAGGAGAGAATATAATTTTGTTTTACTTGATCAATATTAAAATAGATATGTTGTTATCTCTGATAATCATTAGTGGGCTTTTGCAGACATTGGGACATAAATTATGAGGTCTTATGGAATTGTTTATAGATAAGAGATTGGGTATGAGAAGAAAAGATTTATTTTACTTTAGAGGTGATAAGTTACTAAAATTACTTATTGGGATAAAGGGAGAAGTAATTTTTCTTTACATGTTTCTTTTTCTTTACTATATTCTTATTTTCTCTTTCTTTTCTCTTTCTCTTTTTTCTTTTTTCTGTATCTTCTATCCTTAGTTAATTGTAATCTTGTAATTATAATCTTTAAGTAATTACTTTATTAAAAAAGGATAACAATTACTTTTTCGCTATCACTGGGGCTTCTTATCTGGCAGTCTTTCATTAAACTATTATTTAGTTTAATGTCTTGAATTGAAACCAATTTCAATTTACTTGCTGTTGTTCATCAGTCAGCCTTGACTTCAACATGGATTTGTTAATTTTCATAGATGAGAAAAACTGTTGACATATATACTGGCCTTCAAAAATTGCTAATATTCTTGTAGAGCTACTGAATAACTTACAGAATCTGTCTCAGGAAAGAAACTGGTAGAAATCTGGAATTATGACATTTATGTACTTTTGCTTCAGATTGATGTTACAGTGAAACTCCACTAAATCAATCTTCATTTCTTCTACTACATTGCTGATTTTTCAATGTTTCTATATAAAAAAAAACAGAAATGAATTGCCCATGATTCATTTCCTGTGCACATATGTAAATGTTACCATTTTAACATACAAAACATTCTGTATTTGTAGGCTAATATTACATAGAGCTTTTTAGTGAAAATGTACTGTATGTTTCTAATGATGAAATCCTTTTAAGAAAAATATTTGGGTGCCATGTAATATTGTTTGAATTATAGGTCATCGTTAACATCATTTAATAATTATTCTCAATTACAAATTGATATTCAATAACCAATCCAGCTCCTAGGCCTTGAAAAAAAGGGCAGAATATATTTCTTGCACAGAAATATGTCTTCTTATAATTTTTTTGAACTTGTTGCATTTTTTTCTTTTTGATTAAAGTCCATTTACATTTCAACTGACTATTTTAATTACCAGGCCTCCATGTAGACAAAATATTTGTGAAGGTCAGTTTTCCAATTATAGAACCATTATGTGTTATAATAATCTTATGGAATATCAAATCCATAAAAAGATAATATTTAAATGGTGAATATAATTTAAGTTGAAAGAAATAAAACTAAATACAAAAAGTAAAACAAAAAAAAAAGGAAACATCCATCTCAACTGGGATAATGGTACAAAGAAAATAGGAAAAGAAAAGAAACCCCTTCCACGTTTAATCTCCAGCTTTATTTAAGTTACTGCTAAGCCTCACTTACCTCACTTTGACTCTAGGAATAGAGATAGAGGCAAGTAGCTTGGAAGAAAGAAAGGAAGAAAGAAAGAAAGAAAGAAAGAAAGAGCAAGAAAGAAAGAAAGAAAGAAAAGACAGGGAGGAAGGAAGAAAGAAAGAGTGAAAAAGAAAGTAATAAAGGAAAAGAGAGAGAAGGCAGGCAGGCAGGCAGGCAAGAAAGAAGGAAGGAAGGAAGGAAGGAAGGAAGGAAGGAAGGAAGGAAGGAAGGAAGGACAGGGGAACTATGGTTATTCATCAGATAACCATAGACCTTGTAAGCATTCCACAGTGCCAGGTGGACTTGTAAATGTTTTGATTTTATGAGAGAGAGAGAGAGAGAGAGAGAGAGAGAGAGAGAGAGAGGGAGAGAGAGAGATGCTAAGTATAAAATCAAGTACTGTAAAATAATGTCTTGATAATCATAATATCCATGCTAATTTAATTCAACAACTTGGCATAAAAGTTGTAAAAGATGACCTATAGTAGTAGACTTCAGAAATGTAACAATTAAAGGGGAATTGCCTCTTGCTCTGTTTATGTACTATTATCTTAATTTTAAAATCAGCCAACAAGGAGATTTGCTGAATCTATTGGTCCTTATAATTTAACAAAGTCTTCTGCTGGTCCACATCCAAAGATAAATTATTTCTAGTGAGTTGCCTATGAAGTTTAAGTAGTTTGTAGATTTGTAATTAATTTATCATGAGATTAAGTCACTTCCTAATTATGAGTTAATAAGAAATAATAATTCCCTCCAATGCTTCCAAATTATCAAATTAAATTAAATTAATCAAATTGAAAAGCCTAAGCTTTCATGATTTTCAGATATCCATAAAATCTATCCAGTAGATTATATTAGAAGTATCTCCCACTCCCAATCTTTGCAATCTTTGCAATTCATTATTTGTCCTTGTATGGTAGCCTCTGGATGCAATGCTCACTTGTAGATCTCAGATGCTGCGTTCTACTGCTTCCATAATGTAATTTATCTGATTTCCTGCATGCATTGCCTCTGTGACTATGTAGGACAGATTGGGAGGAAGCTAATCACCAGATTGCAAGAACAGAAGCAAATGGTCAGATGAGGAGATCCAAACTCATTGGTAGCATCACATTGCAATGAACAAGGACACACTCAATTACACATAGATAGCCAGGGATATAATTGAAGCCTAGGAAATGGACCCCTTGTCAGTTAACATGAGTGCTGATTTTCCACCAGCTTATCAAGTACTTAGGAGCTTGGTAGCACAAGGAAACAATAGCTAATGACTTAATAGCTGGCCATCAACACCCAAAAAACCAATAAGCAGCCGCACCCAATCAGGAATCACATAAATACTACACAAAGGACACAGTTTGGTAGAGAGAAGTTCCCTGAGGATGGGCTCAAGTATGAGTCCAAAAGCTTGTAAATCTCTGGTTCCGGTGACGGACCCAGATTTTCTTGCAAGTTTATCCTGGGACATGTATATTTGCCTTCATTTGTGAATTATAGTAATGTTTATTACACTTTCCTAGAAGTGTATGATATTCTTAAAGTTAATGACACCAAGATAATGCTGAAGAAGTTAGCAGGCTCAATTTAGAATGTCAGAGAGACAATGTATTCCAAATGGCAACTGACTGAGCTTTAGTCTAGGTTTTGTTGGGCATAGTCATTGTGCATGAGGTTTATGCTTTGCATTGTGGCATGTTGTCTTGCCATTCTTTCTGTAATTAAAATAATCTTTTAAGAAAATCAGGTAGGACAGGAAGACTGGTAGGCCCCTAGTAAAGTATTACCAGAAGTGTTACAATTTGAGGATTTATTGCCTAGGGTGTGCAAAAGTGCACAAAAATCATGGGCTAACCCGAATATTCCTTTCTCCTAATTGTAATGACACTGCTCCCCTTTAGCATTTTTCAGAGCAAAAGCACTTATTAAATTATTTGCTACAATGATGCCAATAAAACATCAGATATAAGTAATGTGTAGAAAATGAGATTCACTAACCACATCGATTGTTTAATACTTTGTTTCTTTTTCACCCTGTACTGGTTGGTTTACATCGGTGGTTCTCAACCTTTTTAATGCCGCAACCCCCAACCGGTCGTAAGTCGAGGACTACTCAACCAGTCGTAAGTCGAGGACTACCCAACTGGTGCAGCACCATTTGCAGAATGGGACTTTTGGTGGGCTCAGCAGGGCAGAGACAGCCTGGACAATTCCTATTGGCTTTTGAAAGCCAATAGAATTAGACTCTATTCAAGAGAGTCTATTCTATTGGCTTTCAAAAGCCAATAGAATAAAAGGGAGTAGCACAGCTAAGGAAAAGGGAAAAAATGGCGGGCTGTGTTGTTTGGCGACCCCTGTGAAATGGTCGTTCGACCCCAAATGGGGTCCCGACCCATAGGTTGAGAACCACTGGTTTACATGGACCAAAGAAGGAACCTACTTTTCTTCTCTTAAGACATACTATAGTGGGTGTTAAACTTTGAAATTTTCGCTAAATTTGGACAAGTGTTACTTGTGGAACTATTTTATGTAGGGCACCTTAAACAGACTATGAATCTATAAGTCTTGAAACTGTTCAGTTGGGTAACAAAAAGAAATAGATATAGCAATTTTGTAGGAGGTGGATTATGATTTTGAAAAAGATAGTAAAAGTACGTAGTTTAGGCTGCTTGGATATGAGCCAGCTGTACAGTATTCCTAAATCTGTTCAGGGTCAAAAAATCAGGGGGTTTGGACAATACACTGCCTTTCTTGTAAAACTACAGCCTGAAGCAAGCCTTTTACAAAAGGCTTGACACTTTCTAAAGGTTATAGAGAGTAAATAAACCATCAAATGACTCCTCTTTTATTGTTATGGTGGTGTTTTTGTAAAAAAACACTTAAATCCTTGTAGTCCTAAGGCAACTAATAAAACAGCAACACTTGTAAAGATTTTATACTGCTTGTTATCTTCTTAAAATGATATACATTTTTCTCCTATATAGAAGATTTTTTTCTTGTTAAAGAGCAACAGAACTGTTTGTTTCAAGGCAAAAGAAATTCAAAGTGTTGTATTTACAATAAAAACAAGCAAGCAGGGGAACAAATAATATTGGTGATTTTAAAGAAGCCTTTAACTTTTACTGCAAGATTAGTTTTTTTAATTTAGCTTTTTGAGATATCTTTTATGTAATTACTGAATTTTTTCTCTCAGATAAGACAATATTTACTTCCCTTTATTTGCTATTTTAAAGCTCCAAGATTCTAATTTCCTTTACTGAAACAAGTTTAATCCAAATATATAGATAATTGTAAAAAATGATGATTGTCAATTTCTATTCAAATATCTGATTATTAATAGTTTAATGATATACATTTAATTTTATTGTACTGATTTATGGTGCTGTGGAAAAGATCAGCTTGTAATAATTTATAGCTTCTAATGCCTGATGTATATTTAAATTCCATAAAAAAATATTTAGTTTAAGCTATAGAGAAAGGTCAAAACACATGTAGATAAGGACAACACCATGCAAGAAATTGTGTGGAATTTCTGGAATCCATAGGACAGCTTGGAAGGAGCTTTGGATATTTTGTATTTTTATGAACTAACAGTGTTGGAATTCTGGTTGAGATTAAACAGTGTTTATTATTGGCTGAGATGCGATGTAATTTAAACCACTGCACCACTTCTTTGTTTTGCTTTGGGTTTTTTAGATGGTTTGGCTTCATTCCACCTCTCATCCAGGTTTGAGTTTCAAGTCCTTTAAGTGAAATGTTGGTTGGATGGTTCATTAGTTCCCCCAATGGAATTGTGGGAGAAATTGACAAAGGTTTTCTACCTTCCAACTTCTGTTTATCAGGAGATTGACATACATGCAAAGTATCAGACTACTCCTGCAGTTTCCAAATATTTAAAATGTCCCAAAGCACCTCTGTGAGTTTTGTGTGTGTATATAGCACATGAAACTCACAGAGGTGCTTTGGGTCATTTTAAATATTTGAAGGAAACACAACAGTACTTGCCACCTGTCAGACAGTATATGAATTATTAAACTAGTAGCCACAATGCACATTCCTGCATTTTTGTTATGGCACATAAAAACTAGATCTGGGAAAGACTTTCTTATATTAGTTTCTGTTAGTTTTTAATCTTTCTTTAAACATTTTTAATACAATTATATTACTAAAGAAAGACTTTTTTAAAAGAGACAATGCCAGACCAGCTTCCTGTGTTCTTACTGAAGCATTGGTGGGAATGTTTGTCAGTTGATAAAAAATGTGAACATTTCAGGACTTGTGGGTAGATTTATCAGATCCACGAGAAGCAGTCTTATTTAAGAGCTCATCTATGGGCATAGCAAATAGGCAGGCTGAAGACGAATAGATATTGAAAACCCATGGACTTTTCTTTAAAAAGTTCACTTATTTGTAATATTGAGGGTTAACTTTTGCAAGGATGTTATTTTAAAGAGTTACAGTGAATTAAAAATAAAGTTGCTCTTCTGCCGTTGAAGATGTGACAGAAGGAAAACCAAATTTTGCTTTCAGACAATGGAACAGGCTGACTATATAAATCTCATATGAACTACACCTTTTGTCTTGCTGTGGGAAGGGCTTGATGTATACTTTTCATATATATTATCCCCTTTGTCCTCCTAAGATTGTCCTGAATAAAGAAATACTGTGAAAATGCATGCAGGATCTAAAAAAGAACTTCATGGACTAGTAATCTCCCTCCATTCCATGTCCTACAAAGATTAGATGAACAGGTTTCCATAAGTTCATTTGCAGATGTTATGTTGAGCGGAAGATGTCAAACCCAGCCATAGACTGTTTTAATCAAAAAATTTCACCGTGGTCTGAAGTATATTCTCATTTGCATAAATATAACTTTTATGATTTTTAGGATGATAGAATAAGAAAATACACTGACATAAAGAAATAATTTTCAGTGTAAATTGCTAAATCAATTTCAATCATGTTATTAATCCTTTGAAGATATTTTAATAATAAAGCTTATCAGGAATATATTACAACAATGATTTTCTTTTAATTTTGAAATTAGGATTCGGAAAATCTTTATGAGGAACAAATTAGCAGACTTGTTGCAGAAAAACAGGACCTTGTATGGCAGAAGGTTAGTGACTTTGTTGTAATTTTTGGTATTATCACTGAAGTTTAAGAATAAAGGAAAACTGATATTTGAATCTTTTAATATACTTCCACTAAAGACTCAATGTTAGGGTTAAATTTAGTGGATATAATAATCAACTGAATCCTAAAGCTGTTACATGTGTTTAAAACTTTACTTTTAGAATCTGGCAAAACTAAACCTGAAGAAACTGGTTTTCTTTCTTTCGTCTAATCCAGAAAATTCTGAATATAGTCCAAAAATCAAGATTGCTACTACTTTTAATAATCTACCGGTAATTACTTTGCAAGACAAAACATATATAAGAACTAAAAAGAAAAAATATAAATTGTTTCATACTTATTGGAAGATTATCGTATTATGCTGTTGCTTCTCTTTCATTTATAGAAAATACATGCATGTTTTGCCACACAAATAAACCTATCCCTTTGCACCTTGATTTGAAAGTAATTGTTATTTTTTATCTTGTACGACATACTTAAGCCATTATTTATTGTCTTTTTTAAATCATCATTTCAACTAAGATTAAATTATATGAAAATTAAATATTAATGTATTAGTGATATGGTAATAGTGATAGGTTAATGTTTTTACTCTTTTTATATTGGATTTTTTATTTTTTGTAAGCTGCATAGAACCACCAAAAGTGAGTGGGCAGCCATATAAATTCTCTGAATAAATAAATATCATAATTGATGAAACTTTTGAAAAATGCACTTAAAGGTCAGTTTCATATATCAGATTTTAAATTATTGTCAACAAATAGGAAGCTGTTCAGCATGAGAAAGAAGCATTAAAGAAGCAGCATGCAGAAGCCATTACAACTTTAAGAAAACAAGTAAGATACTTTTCCCTCAACAATAATTATTATACTTCTGAATAGATTAATTTTAGCCTTACGTGGAAAGTAATATTGCCATATGAATTCACAAGATTTTGTCTACAATCCACAATTTCCTGGGAATGAGTTATATTGAACTCAGTTGGAAAGAAAGCAAAAAGCTAGTATTTGCAAGATCAAATGTCAGCTTCTGTCTTGTTTTATATAAATTAAATGTCAGCTTGTATACTCTCATCCATAGCAAAGAAACCCTTCAGTAACAAATCAAGAGTTATATTTTATATTAATAATATTTCAGCCCAAATCAATTTTATGTATATAAGGTAAGATGAACGGCCAATAAATTTTACAAATGAATAAATATGTTGAAAAGTGTAGGGAATGGAGTTTCATAGGTTAATGGCAATGTGGTAAAACAGATGCTCCTAGTATCAATACTTAAGACCATTCCATTAGGAAGGATATATTGCTTCCTGTGTTCGACTCAGATTAGAAGGTTGAAGAAACTTGTAGTTGATTTCATGCTTAATAATATCAAAAGTTACTAAGAGATCCAGAAGAGCTTGCAGCATACCTTTCTCCCATTTGTTCCCCAATATAAGTCATACATCAGGTCGATCAGGATCATATCCATCTTATAATCAAGCTTAAATTGTGATCAGAATGTATCTAAATAGTTAAGACTATCCAATATTACTTGGAATTAAAAGACTTCATCTCAAACTTATCCAAGGAACGTAGGTTTGAGACTAAATAGTAATTATCCAGAGCTGTGTGACCAAATTTGTCTTCTTCAGCTGATGCTTCATCCTTGCCACCTTTAGAGGACTTTCACTATAAAGGAGAGATCTCAAAGATATAGAGACCCAATCAAATTCCAACTGTTGCAAAAGCTAGGATGAACAATGGTCTAAAGAGCAAGCAACAAGGCTCACTCCTCCAAGCAGTTTGTTAATGTCAGATTACAACAATTGTCTATAACAACATAAGAAGATAACGCGATCCTGTAATACTTGGCCAAGAGATTACATTAGCAAAGCACTCAGTAAATGGGTCATAGTAAGTCTCTGAGGATTTTAGGAGTCATGTTTTAGAGAAAGCTTCTATTCATTCAAAAGTACATTGCTGGACATACTGAGCAGATTCAATGTACCATGACTTTAAAAATTCCTCTCAATATTTTTGAAAACATTACTGTAATTTTTATTGTATTGTTTATCATTACAATAATGTAGTAAAATAAAAGTTAAGTATACACACAGAGTGGAGATCTCACACATTAGGATCAGAACAGTCTATAACTTTCCAATATATCACAAACAAATGTAAATATGGACAATCCCTACATATTAAGCCCTGCCTCAGAGAATATCCCAGGAGCACTGTGTGTCCTAATAACACACAATATATGCCGCCTTTAGGTTGTTTTATTGTGTTAGTGAGGATAATTAGCATGGTTTACATTCTTCATCTGCCACAAGTGATTACTCCGAAAATTCTGAATTGAGTCCAGCAGCAGGGAGTTTAAGCCATGCACAGTAAAAATGTGCACAAAACTACTAGGTTTGAATACAGTGTACATTGATCACAAAATACGGTTCAGACATTTTTCAGGTAATCAGAAAATTGTCTAATTTGCTTTGGAGAAGTTTAGAAACCCTTTATTCCAAGGGGAGAGTAATGATAATAATAATAATAATAACAACAACAATAGTAGTAATAGTAGTAGTAGTAGTAGTAGTAGTAGTAATAATAATAATAATAATAGTAATAATAATGCCTGTAAGCAAAAACTGGTGGGATCATAAAATAGAGAAAGTCATAGAAAATGATAAAATTAAACTGCTCTGGGACTTCAGAATTCAAACAGACAAACACCTGCAACATAACACCCCAGGCTTAACAATTGTCGATAAGAAAGACAAAAAAGTCTGGATAGTGGACGTGGCAGTGCCTGGAGACAGCAGAATAGAAGAGAAAGAGCTGGAGAAGATAATAAAATACAAAGACCTACAAATAGAAATAGAAAGACTGTGGCAAAAGCAAGCAAGGGTAGTACCAGAGTTTTCAATGAAGTGACTGCTCCCATTTGGGAAAGCAAGTTTCTTTGCAGTGCAAATTAATGCATTTTTCCTGAAGATTACATTGTAATATTTTATTGTTAACTAAATAAAAATGATTTGGCTGGTTTGGCTAAAATGTTGAATATTGTTTCAACATACTGTTTATTTTTCTTCTTGACACAAGTTTCAAGCAAAAATGATTCCTATGGAAGAAGAAAAGGTAATATGAACACTTGTATAATTTACTTGTTCAATTAATCAGTTAGTGGTTGAGTATTTAAGGGCTTTGTATGGAAAATACAAATTATTGGGGCAATAATTTCCTTACATATTAAGACAGAATCTGTGAAGTCTTTTATAACAATTTCAAATAAAAGAATATAGAGCGAGATATATTTTTCAGTGAGTATCATTCTCAGCATCCTTGGAATTTCTAGCCTTTAAATCAGCACAACAGGAAATCCCATTCAGTAACACAAAGAAACATAGGCAACTGTAGTGGGCTACAATGATAGAAAAATGACACATGTGACATCACAATACAAATTCTGTCTTTACATATTTAGGTAGTATGTAAGTTACAGAGTTTACATTATGACGTCCTTTTGCATATTTAATTTGTTATCCCATATTGGATTCCTTCCAGTTAGCCTTTCTCAATTATGAGTGTGGTCACAAAATCAACGTGCACATATATATTCAGCCTATTATTATTTATCCATAATGATAGAAATATTTTAGAAGAGTTGTTCAAGAAGTGTATGACATAAGAAATGTTTCTTTGAAGGGAAAACACCTGCTTGTTATAGAATCAAAAGAAAGAGAAGTGGAAGGATTGAAAGAAACATTTAAAAACTTACAGGTACATTAACATTGAATTATTTGTTTAAGTCCTGTCTTTATAGACACAACATGAAGACCATTCACGATGGGTAAAGTAAATAATCTGATTTTATCAATTAAATGAAAAATAATATAATGTGAATCTCTACTCTTTTCCCACTCAGCCCATTAGTAGATTTAGCTTTTATTTACATGTTTTTCTGTATTAGACTGAAAAGATTTGTTCTGTAAAGGGATGAGGAGAACAATATATTTATTAAAAAAAAAAAAATAAGAAATCCTCTTCGCATTGTCAATCACTACAAAATGTTCAAGTGTCATTTTTGTTATGTCATAACTTTCATGGAGATTTAATTTTGACTTCTTCTGCTACGGTCAACTTCTATAAACTGCAACAAATGTATATACTGTAATTGATTAGAATGAGAGATAGTAACCCTATAGCCCTCACCAAAACAGATACAATGTACACAAATATATATATAATAAATGCAGAAATATATAACAGTAAATGTGTTAACATATATTTTACAGATTTTGAAAATGTAATCATGGTTTATTGTGGCTGTAAATTTTCTGTCAACATTGAAAAGCAGGAAATTCTTCTGATTTCTAATATCAGAGATTTTATTTTTTTCACACTGGGGGATATGGTATTGCTACTTCTTTCAAAAACAATTAATTTATCACTAAATGAACATTCTTCAAGAGAGTGTTCTAATGGGTCAAGTCTAAAAAGTGCTTACCTCTCGAAATTTGATTTTCTCTCACTTCTTTGAAGAATCATAGGATCCCATCTATTCTCCATCAAGTTGGAAAGGGTGATGTTTTGTGATATATCCCTGTCACACTAGAGCTTGTTCTAATAAACTTTGAACGTAACACAATTCTTTCTTTTCTCAAAGAAAGCAAAGTTCATACACATGACTTGGTCAGAATCAGGCACACAACTTCTTCTGTCATGAGTGATATATAGCACATGGTTTCCTGTACATTGTTGGCTCAATGTATCACAGTATGACCGATTTCTTTTTGAACTGTAGGTATATTTTTCTCTACACTGGTGGTAATGAATACAGGAAAAAAACAGTTGTTGTTGTTTTTGCTTGTTTACTCTTTACAGTGAAGCAATTGACAAAGTCCAGGTCTTCACTCAGTGTCAGGTTTCCTCCTAGATCTTCCTCCCAGAGACTATATCTCCCTTCAACTGTCCTACTAGCTGTTATGTTTTCCTTCCCCTTTCCCTCCAATTCCCTCTCCTACTTCTGGGCTAACGAGAGAGAGAGAGAGAGAGAGAGAGAGAGAGAGAGAGAGAGAGAGAGAGAGAGAGAGAGGGAGGGAGGGAGGGAGGGAGGGAGGGAGGGAGGGAGGGAAAGAGGGAGGGAGGGAGGGAGGGAGGGAGAGATATGAAGGGAATGGGCTGAATTTGCTGCCCAACACAATTTGACTTTCTTCTGAATCTGTTTAGCTAAACACCCACTGCTTCTCCACTGGAGGAAGAACTCTCAGAGCTCTGCCCTCCAGAGACCAGGGCTTTGCCACTGACCGCTGATCTCCTCCTTCCCTTCTTGGGTCCTGGGTGGAGCTTTAACCCTTATGGTCTTCTCATCCTTTCTACTAAGGAAGCCGCCCCTGGACTTTTCTTCTCCCTTAACCAGAAACTGATAACTGCTCTGCACATTTAACTTTTCTCTCCACTTTTCTCTCCAGCCACTTTGTTCACTCCATGCATAGACTTTTTCTCTCTTCTCCTTTTCTTTCTAATTTTTATATAGACAGGCAGCAACTGAGTAGGTGGATGTCACGCCAGAATTCTAGTTCTTAACAATCATCTATCAGGCTGGACCAATGGGACGTCTTTCTTAGAATCTTCCCACACCACCCCTGGCAATGAGTCAAGTCAGCCCATCAGTTTTTGTGATGGTAGAGCTATTTTTCAAGGCTAAAACTGAGCTGTTTTCTCCTTTTATTCCCCAACTATGCTAACTCACACCAGCAGACCAATAGCCATGCCAAGTCCATATGCCACAGGATACATGTAGTGTAGAGGATATATGTATGATCAAGTAGTTCTGCCTAGACTATGAGAACCAAGTAGCTAAAGAAGCCTCAGTTAATTTCAGTGCATCAATAAGATCTTTCTATCTTTTGTCTTTTCACTATTTTTTACATTTGAGAAAGAATACAAATCTGTACAACAGAAAATTGAAGACAAAATATATATAGTGTAAATTAAAGCACTTGATTTGTATTTGGGAATGCCAGAAGTACAACTTGAGATTTCTAATGGTCTTCATGGAAGCAAGGTGTTTCCTGTGGTGAAAGTTTCCCAGTCTGAAGCTCTGAGAGCAGAACATCTCCAAGAATCTCTAAATACCAAAACATATTAACTGATTCTGAATGGACAAAGGCAATGCCTTCAGTTTAGAAATATTTCTATAGGTTGTGATCAGAAGCAATCATATAAGTCTGATCATGTTTGGACTCCTTTCAACTGAATCATAAACCTGATTGATGTGACAAATGTTGTAAAAAATTTTTCAAGCCAGATAAAATCAAGCATAGTTTTTTCTCATAGTCCCAGATCATATTCTTCTGAGATTTACGGATTTGGTGAGATTAAAACATGGAGTTTCTTTTAGGAGAAACTATAAAGAGAAAGAGAATCTTCAATTCACTCTACCTAAATTGCTTAGAATACAGATTATTGTGATCATTTTAAAAAGCTAATCAAACTAGTAAGAGAAAAAGCTGATGGCTAATTTATTGTGACTGATAAAAGTAAAATTAAATCAAAATATGATGAAAGCTTTAGGAAATATTATATTTATTTCATGCCCTACCCTAATTCCCATGAAATCATGTGTTTTATTCATGAGATGGAGCTCACAAATCCAGGAAAAACTTAGAGAGACTTCAGTCTTCAAATTTTGAGAACTCCTAGCTTAGAGATAGATTTACAAAAATGAAGGGCTGTTTCTCAATAAGACAGTGAGGTAGAACAGATATAATTTTAGCAACCTTTAAGAAACAATACTATGGTGGACAAGATCTGCAACATTTCCATTTTAAGTACTATTTCCTTATTCATTCAAATAATGTTTGGACCAATAAGAAATGATTCTGAAAACATGAAGATTGTGGATTCCTAAAAACAGCAACAACAACAACCAAAAAAAAAGACTTACTTTTTTGTGGATTTTCAGTCTTCTTGGTAAAATGAGAATGGCAATTCTGCATACAGAATTTTAGATGTCATCTCTTATGGACTTATGTGAACATCTTGCTGTTTTTATTTTTGAAGTAGACATAGAAGGATTATTACAATTTGTGAATTGCAGTATAATTTCAGCTGTATCTGGAACTTAATCCTGAAGTAAATAATTTTCTTCTTGCCAACAAAAATAAAACTTCACAGAGAGACTTTTCTTTACTCCCAAAACGTTCATGCTAGAATAATTAAATTTAGATTAAAGTGCCTACTTTATAGAAATTATTACCTGGATGCGGTTCTTCTGTTTTAAGTTTAAGAAAAACAAAATATGTCAAGCAGAACAGTAAAAAGGAATTCTGAAACATCTTTTGGAACTATATGGAACCAGAGTAATTTTTAACTATTAAATATTTATACCCAAAGCCACCCCCTGACATGAAAATAGGACATTTCACTAAAAACGTATCCTTTTTAAGCAATATTTATTTATGCCACAATGGGAAAATGTTATCTGTCATTAATTCTGTACTGATTACTGTTTTTCCATTAACTTTATAAATAGCTAGGTTATTTTGATGTCATTCTTTGTTTATTTAATAATCCAGTTAATGCTGAGATTATTGTAAAAGCAAATTCCTTCGCATTGTTGACCTTCTGTGCAAAAGGCTGAAAGGATTTGTTATGCCCTGCTCAATTCATGACACAGCAGAAGTGATATATAGTGTACTTCATGGTTGGGTGAGCATGTTACATAGTTTTAAAGTAATAAATGCTCCCTTGCTTTTCTTAACTAAGATAAACTTTTAAAAAATCATCCAGTGATGGAATCTTATTTAAACTGATTATAACAAAGGCTTTGGAGTGAAAACTTCTAATGTTATTTCAGCCAGCTCAGCTGCACTAAAGTAGTTCACATATTCTATTATATTGAACAGTATCTGGATATCAGAAAACATACAGAATCACTTTTCTTAGCTGGTCAGGAAAGTTATCAGGTTTCTTTTATTCAGAATAGAAACACATTCTTACGCACATCTGATAGCAGCAACTATAAGCAGATGATTTTACAAAAGCCATTGAGAACTTTCACATTATTTTCCCCTGTTACAACATAGATATTAGTATTAACTAAATCCCACCTACTAGCAAGGGAAGGAGCTGCTCCTCCAGTGCATGCTGTTCCCTTCTTACACTATTTGTTCTTCATTTCTAAGCATATGATCTAGAGAAATCTTATTTTTCAATTTAAGAATAAAAAATATTTGAAATATAGATTAATTATTATTTTATTGACAAACTGACATTTATTCAAGTGAACGGGTTTAGCTTTAGCTTTCTTTGAACATATTGTTTGTGGAGGTATTGGTTTGTAAAATTTCTGCTTATATAGCAGCTGCAAATCACAATATAGGATTGATAGCACTAACGGTGTGCCCTTTTTTAATGCAAAAATGGAAAAAGTTGGTCATCCATATGTCCATCTTCTATCCTATCCTATCCTATCCTATCCTATCCTATCCTATCCTATCCTATCCTATCTTATCCTATCCTACCCTACCCTACCCTACCCTACCCTACCCTATCCATTTATTTTCCTATGATTCCAAGTTTGTAATTGGCATACTCCTGCTTTCGTCTTGTTTTAGATTGTTTATAGATACTTTAAGTTAACAAGAACTAGTTGTAATTCTGGTCCTGGAGAGACTTGTTTTGAAAATTCTACAAATCAAAAATTGTCTACTCATTCTTAATCATTATTCATTGTTGTGTAGCCAGATATTGTTGTCTTACCTTATGGCTGCTGAATTTGCTCAGAAGGCTTGGGGTTGGTAAAAACTTTTCTGAATAACCAGATATAGTTAGAGAACAAATAATATGATCTGTGTTGTTGCCATGCTGGCTGGGACTGACAGAAATTTGAGTGCAGCAGTATCTGCAGTGCCATAAATCTAGTATTTCAGTGTTATACAACTGAAAATGTCCAAGCAGATGTTTTTTCCTATCAAGAAAGTTAATGCATGGAAAACCATAAGATTCTTGAATGCAATTTTCATGTTTGATATTTTTAAAAACATTGCATAAATTATTATTTTTAGTTCATCAATATGCATAAAATATGAAAGTGAGAAAAATTATTTATTTATTATATTTGTTTGCTGCCCATCTCGCTATGCTGCCTTTTTAAACTTCTGAAAATTCTGTCATGTGTTCTGCATTTATGATGGACTTGTTTTGTTATTGATTATTTATTTTTTTAATCACAAAAGAGAAGACTCGGTTATACATAATAGCCTAAAAAAGCCTTTAAAATATTAAATTTGTAATCATTTCCTGAAAATAATATGACAAATAATTGTTAACTGATATTAAATGCATTAACATAATTAATTATACTAAAATATTGATAAAACTGTTTTTATTATAACAGATTTCAAAATACATGTTGCAAAAGAAGGTTAATGAAATGGTAAGTATTGCTCTAAGGAAAAAAACAGAACACTAATCTCTTGTTCAATAAATAGAAATTCTATTCATGTGAGATCATAGGCATTATTTTGCCAGCATAACTCTTCCTCTGGTCATGAAAACTGAACAGTATGCAAACATTTTGCATTTTATGTGAAATAATTCTAATTAAGAACTCTGGCAACATTTAGATTATAGATACATCACTGACATTGGTTGGTAGACAACTCAAGTAGCTTTTTATTGAATGCTAATATTTCTAAAATTATTTGGTTTTTTGTTCTTGTGAAATTCTCATTTGTGCATTCTCCTTTGCCATCTTTCTTTGTAAAATAATTTATTTTTATTAGCAAAAGCTACATGAATTAAAGTGGCTCAGGTCTTCATGAATCTTATTTTCTATTTGTAAGATAGTATTTATGATTAAAATATGCATACGAGACTTGCATTTTATTTACATTTTGATTTTAAAAAAAGGGAATATAAAATACTATAGTGCTTTCTCTTCTTCCACTATTATGCAGGAAAATAAGAGTCTTGGAGTGCCAATCCACTCTGAATCATGTTTGAATTTAAAGAGAGTTTTTGAAACACTGCTAAGCTTGATTGACTAAAAGCTGTGAAAATTCTGCTGCTGCTCAACTGGAAAGAACAAAGATAATATTGTCAGACCATTATAAACTGTTATTTTAATTAAGAAGCTCAAAACTAGAGTCCAGTTTAGCCTTAAGTACCATGACATTTGTACAGAAAGTCATCTTCAACGCTACAGTGATTTTACACAAAATATGGTGAAATTGACTAATATGTCCTTTGACCTGAGAGATAAGGCTACAAGTTAAAGATCAAAGGCAATGTAAAATGTGTTTGTCCTAATTCACTTTTAAGTTAGATTCTTTATTTAAGTTATGTTCTATTATCCACACATATACACACAAAGATGTGGCTGTTATACATTTTAATTCTTAATTTTACAAATAACACTTTATTTTATCTTCACTTTTAATGTATCAGATATAAAGTGGATTTGGAAGTTATTTGATAATTCCTTAATATGTGAATAAAGATGTAATAATATATGAGTAAAGAGGATAAAATCTGATATTTACAAAATACATTTAGAATCATACAAGTGCTCTGGCTAGTGATGGTTTGAAATCATACTTTAATGATGAAGAGAATTTTCACTATGCTATTTGAATATCTGTGGAAAACAAACCTGTTGGCAGGACATCATTCTATACAATCAGATGTATAGTAAAGCATAAAGATGGCCTTTGGAGTATGCTAACAACTCCCTTACTGATCAAGTCTGTTTTTTGCTTTCCTGGTATGAAGAGCAAAAAACACATTTCACGTGTGAAGACTTGCTGTAAACACGAGAAATTTTATATTAAATGTTATATTTCTGGCTTTCCCTCCCAGTTTTTATAACTATATTATATATAATTTTTTTCATTACAATTGCCTATTAAAGTATAGAGAAATTAGATCACTTTTGTTGAAATTCCAATAAATTATTAATGTCCATGAAAAAAATCTGAATTTATTCTTCTCAACTATAGCAGGAAATATCTCATAAAGGGCTACCATAAACATTTCATCCAATTTCAGTCAGAAGTAAAAACAAGCAGAGAACATCTTAGTAAAACAGATTGCAATTGATCTTGCTGCAGGAGTGGCCTAGTAAATTAAAACTTACATGTAAATTTAATTAAATGTAAATTTATATGTAAAAGAGAAAATAAATATAAATTTAATGCTACAGCTTTCATATTTAATAAGCATCAAGTTTGTTTCACAGGGTAATGCATTTAAAAATCCAAAGTGAGCTAAATACAACTAATAAATACAATTATACAAATTTAAGTTGTATTATTTTTTCACTTGCAGAGTACATGCAAGTGGATGCAACATTCCAGCCATGCCTATTCCTCATTTTGTTGTGCCTAGGGCAGGAACTGCTATTTTAAGCACAAGAACAAAAGATAAGCAGGAGTAGCTGAGAACCAGGGAAATAATAGAACAATATATGCAAGGAAATGTTTTAAAGGTTGTTTTGACCATATCTTTATTACTATACTAATACAACCTAATTTCAGAAATAACATGTGAATTATTCTTAAGAAGCAAAATATATAATCTACTCTATGTGTAATCAGCAAATCCTTTCATGATGATAAGTCAAGAATGTAGGATTCTAATATCAGACAATGAAGAATTTTATGAAATAATATGTTAAATGTACCTTTAGTACTACTAGCTGGTGATTGGAATACAGAATACAGAGTGTTGGAAAGTAGTTAGCTTTGTAGAGCAGAAATAATGTATTTAAAAAATAATACGGTGAGAGAAAGGCCTAGGTTACCTAAGTTACCTAAGGCTATCAACAACAAAGAGCCTGTATAGCAGAGGTCCCCAACCAGAGGTCCCCAATCAGGGACCGATTCCATGGAGAAAGGTTTTTCCGCAGACTAGAGAGTGTGTGGTTTTGTGTGCTGCCTGCATCCCACAGATGGGGCTTTGCTTGTTTGTGCGGACCGGTTGCTGGCATGCTGCGGCCCAGTACCGGTCCATGGACTGCGGGTTGGGGACCCCTGCTGTATAGTATGCTTTTCCTCCATTATAGAAAGAGAAAGGAAGTCAGGTAAAATCCTGGAATGCTCAGGTTGGAATTAGAAGAGAATGAGAACTGAATTGAGAAAGGAAAGAACTGATGAAAGTGTTTAGAATATCAGTCAAGCCAATAGAAGGCATGTCACATAGAGATATATACAAAGGGAATCTTTAGAAAAAGAAAGTGCAGAGTTCTCTTGCTATCCATCTCTACATCAGTTGAGTGAAGCGATTAATAAGTTTACAGGTGTGGAAAGTTTGAGAATCAATGTAACTATGTAGGGAACATGGAATCAGAAATATGGACAGGAATTCTTTAATTGAGTAAACACAGTGATGCAGGATATAGGTTTGTTTTATTTCCAGCACCTGCTTTAAGTAACATAATAATATACATTATAAATAAATATTACAACATCAAAATCTGATTATGTACATAATGGGAATGAAAAGAGGGAGAAGCGTAATCCAGTCAGTCCTCTAAGTGCAATTTGTTGACAGACCATAAATTATTTGTATGGAAAGTCTTAAATATAAAAATTGAAGAGACTAAATTTACTGGTAAGATTTGACTTGCAAGGCATAATGCCAGAATATAAGATATATCTATGTTATAGGTACAGATCACTATTCTTAACTAACATTAAAAAAAAATCAAATAAAAATGCAAATGACATCAGAAAAATTGAATGACAGCATGTCTTAGATTTATGGGTGCTTTAATAGAACTCTGAAGGTAATTTTAAATGTTAAAGAAAACAGCATACTGTTACTGCTTTTACTTCTGATGGCTGCCTAAAGCATCTAAAAATATTGTTAGTATAGTACACTGGAATGATTTAGAAAATCTATTTGTATGGCATCAAATTTATATTTGAATCTGCTTATTGCCCTGATTGATTAGTATGTCTGGTTTGTTCAAGTTTGTCAAGATCTTTTTGAATTCTGAGCTTGTCTTCTGGGGTGTTGGCTATTCCTGCCAGTTTAGTGTCATCTGAAAGTTTGATGAGTTCCCCTTCAATTCCCTCATCTAAGTCATTGATGAAGATATTGAAGAGTACTGGGCCTAAGACGGAACCTTGTGGTACCCCACTGCTTACTCCTCTTCAAGTGGATGTAGTACCATTGAGGTCTACTCGTTAAGTACGGTTTGTCAGCCAGCTACAAATCCATTTGGTGATGATGTTGTCTATTCCACCTTTTTCTAGCTTACCAAGCAATAGATTGTGGTCTACTTTGTCGAATACCTTATTGAAATCTAGGTACACTATGTCTCAGTGTTTCGCTGGTCTACTAATTTGGTCATTATTTATTATTATTTTATTATTATTAATACAGCCTGACTCCCAATGTCTCTGGATTATTACAGATAAACGCTTGTTTATTTGAAAGAAAGCCTACTTTGAAATGAGGCTAACATTAGAGTAACTGGATTTAGAATTATTGTTTTATGGACATTGCATTATACAATAGTTCAAAGAATTTTCCTTGTTTTTGCAGGAGCACAAGATGCAATTGTACAATTCATCAAAGGAAGATTATCAGAAAAGACTGAATGAATTTGAAAAATGCCATGCAGTTATAATGAATCAATTTGAAATAATAAAAGGTGCTCATGGGAAATTAGAGAAAAATGGTAAATATGTAATACATTCTGGACACAATTTAATAAAACACAACTTAGTAATGATAATAAAGGAGACTGCTTCTAACTTTTCAAAAGCAATTTTAACTTTCTTGTCAGAAAAAAAGTTCACAAATACATTTTCTAGAATGAGCTCACTTTGTAGAATATGTGAAGTAACAAAATGAAGATGATATTTTAATGTTACTTTTTTATTTCCTACCCCACCCCTTATGTAAGTTGTGGAAGCAATTCAATTCAATAAGAATTTGTCAGCAATTAATACAACACAAGAGTCTGAGATAAATAACCTAAAAAAGGTAGGTATGAAGTGCATTTTGTTTTACCCCAGGTGAGTTTAAAGTATCCAAACATAGGTTGACGTATAATCAGAACAATTGGGAACCCTGTTAAAATAATCAGCTCCAATAATTTATTGCAGGTTATCAAGATTTGTCTGCCAATTCAATTGTTATAAACAGTAATCCCTAAGAAGACAGTGCCTACTGTTTTTCTGTATCTGATGCTATAAATAATCTTTTGTTTTGTGCCTAGGATAAAATAGCTACCCTCACTTTTTTTTGTTTTTTGGTCTTAAGGCTTAGAGTAGAATACTGTATTCTATCACCTGAATGCTCTTACTGGAGTATAGGATTTGATGAGACATTGTGTTTTTATAATTATTGTTACTGCTAATTATTGTACTTTCAATATTTGCTGTATAATGGAATATATTTTATTATGTTGTAGATCATGATGAGTCTTGGTAACATTTAAATTTATAAAAAATAACTTTTTCATTTTGTAACAGTGGTATATATAATTTATGGGCTCAGAACTTCATGCAGCTACAGAAAACCTTGGATGAAACACTTAAATTTATCAATTAAATTTTTTAAAGAGGGGAATGGTGAAATATATTGGTAGGGAACATATTAATTCTACACAATCTTCATTACAATCAAATGCAACCTAGATGTAGTCAGATTTAATGTTTGTCTTGGCTCTTGCCATTGCTTTTTGTAGTGCAGCCAGTGAACCACAACAGAAAAGTCAAAAGTTGGTGGATGTGACCTCCCACTATCAATGCTGCTGTACATGGCCTCCGTTACAGAAAAACATAGAACCAGTTATATATCTCAGCTGCTTATAAATAAGATATTTGTACAGTGCTATACATATACAGTACTTTTTCTACAGTGCTATACATACACACACACACACACACATACATGTACATATGCAAATATCTGTAGCTCGGGTATAGGATGAGGGTGAAGGTTCTTTCTCTAAATTTGTGGGTTGGTTTCTGGACATTTTGTTATCAGGCTAGGCAACATCTTCAGCGGAGTTTAGGGGATGTCAGTATCAGTATTTTTCTGTTTAAAAAGGCTTCAGGTGTGCGTGTGTCGAGTGAGGGTCTTGTGGGCTCACTTGAGACACCCATACCTGAAGCCCTTATAAACAGAAAACTGACACTGAAATTCCCTAAACCAGTGGTTCTAAACCTTTTTAATGCCGCGACCCCCAACCGGTCGTAAGTCGAGGACTACCCAACTGATCATAAGTCGAGGACTACCCAACCGGTTGTAAGTCGAGGACTTTTCCTGCCCAGGAGCGCCATGCATGCGTGGTGCCGCCCCATGTGCCGGCCGAAGTGTAGCTGGCAAGCGGCAGAGATGGCGCAGGCCGACCACCGGCTGGGCCACCAGCTGGCCCAGCTCAAGGGAGGTAAGGCACCCGTTGGGCCCCATGCGCACCAGCAACCCTCCCTGCACCTGCCGGCCTCCCACCTCCCACTCCTGGCCCTCTTTTACGTACATTTTTAGTAGTTGCTCAGCAGGAAGGGGTGGAAGTTTCCAGACAGCTCGCCTTCGCTGCAGACAACTTGCAGCACTGTTTGCAGAATAGGACTTTTGGCGGGCTCATCAGGGCAGAGACAGCCTGGACAATTCCTATTGGCTTTTGAAAGCCAATAGAATTAGACTCTATTCAAGAGAGTCTATTCTATTGGCTTTCAAAAGCCAATAGAAATAAAAGGGAGTAGCACAGCTAAGGAAAAGGGGGAAAAATGGCGGACTGCGTTGTTTGGCAACCCCCGTGAAATGGTCGTTCGACCCCAAATGGAGTCCCGACCCACAGGTTGAGAACCACTGCCGTAAACTCTGCTGAAGATGTTATCTAGCCTGGTAACAAAAAGTTTGGAAACCAACCCACAAGCTCGGAGAATGAACCTTTACCCTCGCATATACCTATACCTGTACCTTCCGTTCAAGTCCCTGCAGTTTTTTTGGCAAAGAATTTCTTCACTCTCTCTTCCTGCTTGTTAGTTAATGGAGAGAGGCCTATCACCTTCTCGGAGTAAAAGAGGCCATGTAAAGCACTCTCCGTTAGAGCAAAGGAGGATAAGCCACCACAAAACTTTATACATGTCTTCTAAACAGAAAAAGGAAATGTCATGTCAGCAAGTCCAGCATTTTGGCAATGCTTGTTAGGCAAGTGCAATAGCATTTTTTTTTTTAAAAAAAAAAAATCTGGCTCCATTGTGTGTACTTTAGCATCAGCATTTGAAGAAAACCATGGGTTAGAAATAGTTTCCCTTTGTAACATCACCTTCTGTCGGACTATGACTGAAATAGACTTTCCTTAAAAAGTAGCTGTATTTATATAACCGGATATCCATAAAGTTCAGCAACTGGAATATTTATTTCTATTTTTCCACTGTTTTATGATTTTGTCCAGAACAGTTAAACTGTTGGACTGTGATAAGGGGAATTCCACTTTTATGAAGAAAAGTTAAACAGTCCAAACTTAGTTCCTCCTAGATAAAACCACCACCATTTGAATACTTGGTTCAGTGCTATGCCATTATGAAGAATTCCTGATATTATCTACAAATAGCATTCATAACCTTTGCTATTTGTCTAAGCAAACGTCAGAACACGCAAGGAGAGAGAGATATTAAACAGGCTACCCCATACAAAAAGAAAAGAGAAGAGGTATGGAAAGATGGAATATTTATGACTCTGAGATCTATACTTTGTAATTTAATAAGCTCAAAGCATGTACTGTTTATTTGCTGCATTGGCTGCTGTGAATAACCTAAGTAGAAAAGGAAAGGAATAAGGTAAAAGGAAGGCAAAGAATACCATATTTTAATGCATTTTTACATTTTGAAAATAAAAACTTTTGAAGTATTTCAGGTAAATTGGACTAGGCATTGCACCTTTAATCCTTATGAGGGCAACAATTATTTATATGGATTAATAATATAAATTATATCTGATTTTTCATTGTTAGAAATCTCAGCGTGAGCTAAATCATTAGACTGTTGATCATTTTTCTTCTTTGATTTGCTTCAGGAAGTTCTGGCAGATCTTTTAGTAATATGGCAATACTGTACAGTATAGAGGAAACTGTTGTAGCATTTTCCAGCAGTATTTCTAGTAGTGTTCAAACAGAAAAAGAACAATGTAGACAGCATATGGGTGAATGTAGAAGGAATATATTTAATCATAAATATCACTCCTGAAATGATGTCATTGTTTCGATGATGATGATGGTGATGGTGATGATGATGATAATGATGACGATAGTTTATTGCAAAATCAGCCAGATACTTAGATTGGATTTGGCATTTTTATCCACCTATCTAGTCCTTCCCAATTTATTTTTATTATTGGCTTTGAGTTAGTTTTGATTTCTGGACAAGTCCCTTCAGTTTTCTTGGCAAGGTTTTTCAAAAATAGTGGGCCACTGTTGAGAGAGAATGACTGAAAGTTATTTAAAGTCACCTAGCTGCTTCCTGTCAAAAGAGATTTCCCAGCTTCTGGTTTCATGCCTTTAACCACTGTATCAAAACTGGCTCTCAGTTACAAGTCTGTTCTGTTTTCTTGGCAACAGTTTTGGAAGTGGTTTACCCTTGCCTTCTTAGAGAGTGACTGGCCCAAAGTTAGCTAGTTGGCTTCTGTGCCTAAAGCCGGATTAAAGCGCAGCTCCTCATTCCTAGTTCAGTATCTTAACCTGTAGATCAAACTAGTTCTCCAAACTTCTATTAATGCCAATAATGTGCTTGGGCTTTCTGTTTGACTGATCAAGTAGTTATCAAATTTTCATGATCCCATGCAGTAGATCACTACAATAGATTTTCTCCATGATGATCTGTCCCTAACCTGATCTTTCAAGTTTTCCAATATTGCATCCACTGCTGTTGTAATAGGGTTGGTCCAACTTGCTGCTGGTCATTTTAGAAGAGCATTAATTTAAGTCTAACTTTTCATCCAGTTTGAATACATGAATTTTTAATTAATATTTATTTATTAAGGAACTAAAGAAAATTACATCAGATGTGATAAAATCCAAGGTTACCTATCAATACAAAGTGGAAGAGGATCTCAGTCTGAAGGCAAAGGAACTGGATCTAAAAATATTACAGCAAAAAAATTCATTGGTATTTTCCAATATTTCTTATTAATTTAGAAAAAGAGGTTATGCTTATTTTAAAAAGGTGACTTTAAATGTTATATTTTAGGCAGCTGTAATTAATGTATTTATGACTTGCTCACTGAATGTTAAATAATTTTGCTTAGTACCTCCTCAGTGGTGGGATTCAAATATGTGAACAACCGGTTCTCTGTGTGGATGCCACTTCTGGAAGCCCATTCTGGGCCTGGGCAACAAAAAATTAGCTACTGGTTCTGCTGAAGTAGTGCGAACTGGCTGAATCCCACCACTGTACCTCCTACACAGTGTAACATTTTAAGTTCATGTTACATTTCTTGCATATTAAAATAAGCATATTATTGAGTAGTAAACATTATGGTAAAATAATGGCATTAAGTCCCCCTTATATTGTTTTCTAATTTTGACTCCTCTTTTCAATATGAGGAGCTATGCTTATGGTGTAACAAAATCAACTAGAGGGACCAGTGGAATTGATTTCAATGTGCTTATTTTATTTATAGGAAGTAGATTTAAATGGAAAAATTACTGAAGAAATTGCAAGACTTAAAGAAGAGAAACAGGTTATGTTTCACATAAGTTATCAAATTCTGCTTTCCCAATTGTGGGGCCCATATTGGGGAATTAATTGTCACAGGGATTGAATTATTTCCTCTCTTTACAGCAGAACAGGAAGGGGCTAAAGACTAGTGTGCATGTGTGTTTATCTAAATATAGATAAATGTGTATGTACGATATTTTGGGGTACACATGAATTAAATCACTGTTGTATGCTATTCCTTAATTGGGTCACACACTGTTTTTCTGCATCCACACAGTTTTGGTCACACATTTTCTCAGGTATTATATCATAAGTATTCAAGCCCAGACAGTGCATCTTTTGAATGATTTTTTTTCTGTGTATTGACATAATAAAAGCACTTCTTTAATCTTTTAAATAAATTTGCTAATTATATATATGTGTAATACACATAGACCATGATGAAGAAGAATGCCTATCTATGATTGTGGGTCATTAGTATATATCCATATAGTCCACTCTTTCTGTATTAATTGCACACTAATTTTAGAATTTTAGAAAAATGAGGATAGTGAAAGCCATGCAGGGTTCCAGACAATAGCTTTATGCAGGCACAATATCAATACAGGTGAATGTACAGCTAGCCATTTAAAGAACCAGTTACAGGTAAGCAACATGTTCTTATGAAACATGTTCATAAACATGTTCATAATCTCTTATGATATTATAAACTTCTATTTAACAATTGGCACAAATAGAATGCATGCATGTCTTAAAAATATATATTAAAATTTAAGATGTCAACACACACACACACACACACACACACAAACATGCATATGCACATATCCTCACAAATGCATTTAATGATTCCATCATAGGGAATTTTACAGAGTAATCCTATAATCTGAAATATTACACCTTTTCTTTTTATTAAACAAGGAGATTATGGCTTCTCTACAACATATGCAGCAACTCCTCTGCAGACAGACTGAAAGAAATAACAGAATTGAGGTGGAGTTGAATAAACTAAGAGAAGAGTATCAGGTAAAATGTTGACTCTATATGAATGTATACCAATGACCCCCAATTCATTCTAAATAATTAAAATGAAGTATCCTAAAATGAGGATTATAGGATGCTTTGCAAAAGTTACATCAGATAGTATACAATGAATTCATCCCTTGATGGAATGGCTTCTGTCAACAGAAATAGGAGGAAGTCAATTTTCTCTCTGTCTGAAGTCTACCATGTATCCTCCAAAGTTGTTCTAAGATTTCCCCAAATACATTTCCTCTAGTACAGGTAGCCCTCAGCTTACAAGTGACTGTTCAAAGTTACAATGCCATTGAAAAAAATAATTTATGATCATTTTTCCCACCTACGACGGTTGCAGCATCCCCATGGACGTGTGATCAAAATTCAGATGCAACTGATGCAACTGATGCAGTATCTCAGAGTCATGTGATCACCTTTTGCAACCTTCTGACAAGCAAAGTCAATGGGGAAGCCACATTCACTCAACAACCGTGTTGCTAACTTCACAACTGCAGTGATTCACTGAACAACTGTGGCAGGGAAAGGTCATAAAACGGGGCAAAATTCACTTTAAAATGTTTCATTTAGCAACATAAATTTGGGATTCAATTGTGGTCGTAAGTCAAGGACTACCTGTAATGTAGATTATATTTTGACTTTATGCCACATTCGGGAAGCATTCGTTGAAATAACCCTTCCTGAAATTCAAGCTTAGAAATATGTTTTACATGGAACATTTATTTAGTTCTTGTCAATGCTTATGTAGTTTATGTGATATTTTTTCATCCCTCCAATAAAACTCTCACAATATATAGTAGACATTTACTGTTCACATGTATAAATATTCTGATATGTTTCTTCAAGATGTTTGATAGATAAAATTAATAATATTATATATTTCTAATGGGATATAAGTAGTGAATTGCAAAAAAAAAAACCCTATTCACATAGTCCTCCCCTACTGATCCCCACGTTCAATGATCATGCAAAGTAAGGAGTTTTAAAAAGCATCAATTGAAAATTCTTCTACTTCAGAATACATTTTTGTTGCTATATTATGTTAAGTAATTGAACAAAGAAATAAATATTATTACTTTTAGATATTTTTCCTACTTCATTGGACTAATTTACTGTAAATGGAAAATCAAATGAGAATAAACAAAACAAAAATAACTCAGTAAAATAGCTGTTGTGTTGTTTTTTATAATCCTTAAAATAATTAGATTTTAAATCTGAGTAATATACAACATTAATAAAACAAATTCAGATTTGATTTGTTTAATAAACTATTAATAAAAGTATATTCTGATTTTATTATGGTGTTTATATTCATAAACCATGGTTGGGAATGTGCTACATTTCATATTTCTTAGGTCTGTATTTTATATTTCTCAGTGCATTAAAACTTATGCAGTGAAACTGAATAATGACAAATATTATTATACCCCTTTATAGCTATTTTTTATAACCTATTTTGGGTTAGCTAAACTATATGCTTTTTCCTATTAATTTATGAAAATTATTGTTGTGAAAGCACATTATCACTGATCTGTATGGTACTTTTGCATGTTATAAGAAAAGGTCTAAGCAACATAAAACACATCAAAATTCATTAAAGTGGTATTGATTACTTTTTGGATAATTAATTTTATTGCAGATCCTTGAAAGAGATAATGAGATGCAAAGGGAGAATGCAAAAGAAAATGAACAAAAGTTAGCTAGTCTTCTGAATGAATATAAGAAAGTACAAGCAACTTTGAAAAATGAGGTTGGTTTATTAATCAAATACTACTGTATTAACAGAGTTACCAAGTACTAAGCAAAATGTTCCAAATAAAATCAGAAGCCTAGGAGAAGATGACAAAAATAAGAATAGGACAAAAAATATTTGCCTTTTTTTTTAATTGAAATTTTTTTAAAATTTTTACAAAAAGAAAAAAAATAACCCTACCCAACCCACCCCAACCCTCCCACTGCATCCCCCAACCTTCTCAGAGCTGAATATAGGCTTAATTAGAATTTCTTAAAATCTTAAAAAAAATTAAAAAAGTATAAACCATAGATAAGTCTAAATACATTACATAAACAACTTATAAAATGATTAACAATAATATATGTATAAAAAAGCATAAATATTAAAAAAGAAAAATGTTTAAAAAGAAAAGGAATAAAATAAAAAAAACTATAAGTTGTGCCGTTTGTTTTTGATAAATAGCACCAAGAGCTTGTAAAATTTTTTCTCCAAAATTCATATTCTCAATTAATCTTAACATAAATTGCCAATTCAATTGGTCAAAAGCTTTTTCAGCATCTAGAAATATCAATCCTGCAGAAACTTGGTTATTTTTATCTAAATATTCTAATAAGTTAATAATTTGTCTGACATTATTCTTCATGTACCTTCCAGTTATAAAACCCGTTTGATCCTTATGTATAAGCTAATGCAAAACCCTCATAAGCCGATTAGCTAAGATTTTTGCAAAAATCTTGTAATCTACATTTAAAAGAGATATAGGTTTATAATTCTTTGGTAAAGTAAGATCTTGATCTTCTTTTGGAATTAAAGATATAAAAGCTCTGCCCCATGACGGGGGGATCTCTAAACCCTGTAATATATTGTTAAAAAGCTCACATAAAGGTTGAATCATCTCTTGTACCAAAGTTTTATAATAAATAGATGTCAAGCCATCTGTACCCGGTACTTTACCTAATTTTAATTCCTTAATCACTGTCTCAATTTCCTCACTAGTAATTGAACCATTAATTTCTTGTTTCTGATCTTCTGTTAATTTGGGGAAGTTGGCTTCACTTAAATAATTATTTATATCTAAAACTTGTACATTAGTACTCTTATATAATTTTTGATAATAATCTAAAAAAGATTTCTTAATCAAGAAAGAAAGAAACAGAGACAGAGAATTATAGATAAAATAAATTATAATGGTAAATTGGTATATCCAGTTGGTACACTAAAAACTTTCAAATAATACTTTGAGAATTTTTTAAAACTTATTTATTCAGTCAATGACTAAGCAACATAAAGTAATAAAATGGGAAATAAAAGACAATAATTACAATCAGAACTAACAGAGAGTAATGGGTGCAATAATATACTGACAACTATAAAATAAAATAAATCTGGTTTCTCTTCATATCAGCGGGTTAAGATGCAGAGCTTGTTAGCTGGAAAGCTAACAGCCCAGGTGCAAGACCAGAGTGCCGTGCAACAGGGTGAGCTCCCAACAAGGTGAGCTCCCCAGTTCCTGCCCACCTAGCTGTTCTAAAGCATGCAAATGCAAGTAGATAAATAGGTATCACTTCGGTGGGAAGGTAACAGCATTCTATGTGCATCGGTGTATAGTCATGCTGGCCACATGACCACAGAAAAGTCTTCAGATAAGTCTGGCTCTCTTGGCCAAGAAATGGAGACGAGCACTGCTTCCCAGAGGTGGAAACAACTGGACAGGAGAAACCTTTATCTTTAGGATACTATACAGGTAGTCCTCAAGTTACAACCACAACTGAGCCCAAAATTTATGTTGTTAAGTGAAAAATTTGTTAAGTGAGTTTTATGACTTTTCTTGCCACAGTTGTTAAGTGAATCGCTGCAGTTAAATTAGTAACACCATTGTTAACTGAACCTGGTTTCCCCATTGACTTTGCTTATCAGAAGGTTGTAAAAGGGGTCACATGACTCTGGAACTCTGCAACCGTCATTATTGTGAGTCAGTTGTCAAGCAACCATATGTAAATCATGTGACCATGGGGATGCTACAGTGGTCATAAGTCTGAAAAATGGTCATAAGTCACTTTTTTCCAGTGCAGTTGTAACTTTGATCGATTACTAAATGAATTGTTGTAAGTCAAGGACTACCTGTATTTTTCTGTATTTCTGTAAGATCCAAAAATTTCCATCATTGATTTCCATATATTTTATGATTTCCAACTGTATTTTAACTGTTATTAGTAAATTCATAACCACTTATGTCTTTCATAATATTTGTTATGAAATCAATAAAAATTAACAGTGTAAAACTTAAAATCTTACAGAATTAAAAAGATCTTCCTATGATTTTTACAATGTTTAGGAACAAAAAGTGCTAATTTTATTCAGCTTCTTCCCTTAAAGTGACTAAAAAACATCTCTTTTCCCCACAATTATTATTATTAATCCATTACTTTCCTCCTGCTTCATGTCAAATTAAGGGGATTAGAATTTTCAGTTCACTATCTTCCATGTAATAAAAATCTGTAATATGCCTAATTTAATTTTTAACTGAACATGAAAAGTACACTTAAAAGATTTCAAATAAACTGAGGGAAAACATTTTAGTGGGCTTTCTGCTATTTATTCAGGGTCAGGTAATGTATATCTAAATGCATACCTGGCTGCTTGCTATTTGTTTTCCTCCCATTATGTTTATTAGTATATATGTTGGAATGTATGCCTGGGTGTAAAGGAGTAATATCATTTCTACTTGGAATAGAATGTCTGTGGAGATTCTCAATCATCCAGGCCATGTTGTCCATCTGCATTTGAAAGAAAAGGGCCATTCTTTTGAAGACAGCAAAATTCACAATCTGGACAGAGAGGACTATTGGTTTGAAAGAGGTGTCAAAGTTGCCATCTATGTTAAAATTGAACAGCCCAACAGAGAGGAAGTGATAGGACAACACCTACCTCCTGTTTACAATGCAGTCCTTTCAGCAATCCCAAGAAGGTTCCATACCTGTATACTCTCTGATTCAGGTAACTCTGAGAATACAGACAAACCCCCCAAGTGGCCTCAATGATCTCAGAGAGCTAACAACTGACTCTCAGAATGGTAATGACTAGATAACTGCAAAGAACATAAATCCTTCTATTCCCCTCCAATCAGTTAGAACTGAAGAAACTTCTTGGATAAGAAGTGAAATGTTTTCAAACAAAAAAGAAGAAAGACCAGTTGCCTTTTAGAAAAAGCATCTTTGGGGCATTTGGAATAGAATTTTTTTTTGAACTCTAGAACTATTTTATTTCATTTGCAAATTCAATGCTAAAAATTATTACAAAGGAAATCATATGTCTCTCAATTTCTTATCTTCAAAAATAAACTATTTTTTTTTGCTCCAGGTAAAAAACATATCTAATGAAAATCAAATCCTTAAAGCCCAAAAAGATGATAAGTATACACAAACTACAATGAAATATTTGAATGAACATGAACAAAAAGAAAATGGAAGAAACAATAATCTGGAGATAGACATTGGTATAAACATAGGGAAAAAGGATTCAGAATATTTTGAAGGTATAAATATTCATAATTAAAACATACAGTGTTGATAATCAGTCAATATGGTAAAAAGATGTGAAGAAAGTTACTCCTCCTTTCTACAATGCCAACAGAAACACCAACATTGAACAGCCCTCCACATCTGAACAATGTCACTTGTTCTCATAAGTTTATGTATTTCTGCATCTGATTAACTTCCAGCTCAGCTGGCATACAAGTGGAAAAGCTGTGAGTAATGTATTGAAGCTAGGTATAAAACAGGAAGATTTTTGTTGATAAGAATACTTGCCTTGTCTTGGCCCAGAGCACCTTGACTCTGCCTTCCACTTATCTGTAGTCAAGGTAGTAGAATACTTTCCCATCTTCTCATATATCATTTTATCTGATAAAAAAACAGTAATGAAGAAGTGGAGTGATGGCTGAAAGGTAATTTTTCAATTACTTAATTTGTAACATAGAGAAAGCATTGGTCAGCTTATGGGACAACTATCTTTTGCAAGGATGGCCATCCTTGGAATGTATTGAAGTAATAAAGTCCCAAGCCTTATAGGGCTTTATAGGTGATCACCAACAAATTGGCTCAGGTACCATGACACAGAAGTATACCTCCATGGTCCTGCAAAATGACAATTGAAAGAGAGGGGGGTTTCTGTAGGGGGGGGCAAAGACACATTTCAGCTTGGAGTCATTTCACATGCACATACAATATGGGTGAAGCTTGCAGTACAATGCTGGTTTTGTCGTTCTGATGAAAAAACAAGCTCCTGAGAATATCCATGTTTCAAACTGCTTGCCTCTGGAAAAAAGCAAAGGATACAGAGATAGAGTGACATTATTCCTGCTTTTATATTCTATCTTCTAAACATTATGGCTTTCCAGGGTGAGTTTTCCTCTGGATGATAGAAAACCTTTAGTACATCGGGAGCCAAACATGACCAAAATGTATAGAAATAGAAATACATTAATGAATTGTAAAATATTTTATATTCTTTTGCAGTTTCCACTACTAGGAGTTGCTACTATTTTTTAGAAAAGCATTTTTCATGTGTCCATGTTACGTGAAACATATTTAAAAGCAGTTTATTTTTGAGTAATTTACTGTTAATAATATAGTCTAGATTTTAACAGATATAAAATGAGTTGCTAATTGTATGAATGAGGGTGATCATTTAAAAGAAAAGCCAAAGGGAAATCATTTTAAGCAAAGCCCTTTATATGTTCAATTTAATTACACCAGAACTGACCTATAATCATGGAGTGCTAATTGCAAAGAAAGGGCAGTTCTAGGAGAAAAAACAACAACTCCTACTTGATAAAAGGCAAACAAAGGCAGAAATAATTCTCTTGGACAATTTTTATTCTATGATGTTGTTGCTAGTAGAAGAACCTAAGACTTTCTTAAAGTGTTGAAATTAGATTGTTTTAATCCCACTATAGAATTGGGACATTCTGTTGATCATCTGGGTGCTGGTGTTGCAAATGAAGGCATTTCTGAGAGTCCTGAAAATATTAACAATACAATCCATAAGGAAGATTACTTGGCAAATAAAGAAATTAGTGAAGAGCCTAAAGAACAAATTAAAATTGCTTGTGAGAAAACTGCAAATAACCATATGAAATCTGAAATGGATTCTATATTGTTACCAGCGATCAACACAGGTAACTTGGATAAGTACAATGATATTAGTAATGAAGAAAAAACATCACCAAAACATAATATATCTGCCAATAAGAATATAGGCATAAATATTCATATTGATGAAAACATTAATAATCTACTTCTGGGAAGAGCGTTAAGTACTGAAAATTCAGCTACAGGTGTACATGAAATGCCTAGCAAACACTTTGATAACTACAGTTCCGAATTGAAAGAAGTGAATACAAAGATTTTGCTCCTGGACACTCAAGATATACATGAATCTGAAACCGGAGACATGAAAATTAATGAAGTTGCCAAAGATAAACAGATAAACACCCATACTTCCAAAGACAACAGTGAGCAATTTACTGAATTTCTTAATGAAGAAAAAGAAAGAGAAAAATCATTGAATACAATGATGAAAAAAATAACAGTGGAAGAAAGCACAAAACAATCATGTTCTTTGCTCATGAAGACAACAGAAAATTTAATAAACAGAAATAGAAGGCTATCCTTTAACCTTCCAGTTGTGGAAGAAAAAACAGAATACTTAGATTTATCAAGAAAACGTCAAGAGGAAATTCAAATAATGCCTGTCTCCTTGAAGGAAAGGCCTCTCTCCCAAGAAATGAAAACTGCTCAGAGCTCAAGAAAAATTGATAAGATCATAAACATGCCTAGTGATGTAAGACAAGAAACACCAGGTAAGAAAATATTTAAATGCTACTAGTTATTTAAAATTATATAGCCACAATAATAACTATCATACATTGACACCCATTCATAACCACAATGTGTGCCAGAATTTGGAGAGAAGGGAGGGGTTTGCTGTAAAACAAGGAAGCAGGTGGAACAAACAAAGTGCATAAAGATTGAACACACTACCTATCTATCTGAAGAATGGGGAAGGGATTATATAATGAACTTTTGACAGTGGTCTAATGTAAGGCTTTTGTGATGCGAAGGATTTCCTGGAAAAATTGGATGAGGTATTGGTAGGCTGAGAGAGATGATCTTTTACTCAATGAGTGTGACTCTATGGTAGCAGAACCATTATGAAGGACATTAAATGGATTAACTTGACTGTGTTGTAGAATTAGTAAGAGAGTAATGTTCTAGCTTCAGAGAAGACAATGAGCTCTGATGATCTTGTAAGGTACAATTATTTTCATGGCATCCAGCAGAAGTTTGCTGGAAAATTTTGTTGCCTAGTTCTGGGTCCCCAACCCTCAGTCTGTGGACTGGCACCGGTCCACGGCATGTCAGAAACCAGTCCCTGCAAACAAGCAAAGCCCCATCCACAGGATGCAGGCAGCATACAAAACCATGCCCACTCCAAGTCCACAGAAAAACCTCTCTCCAGGGTACCAGGCCCTGGCGCCCAAAAGGTTGGGGACCGCTGGCCTAATTTGTTTTTTCTTCTTGTGAATTATTCTATTCTTTCTAGTCATTTCTGTGGCTTCTACTACTTGGTTTATTCACCTTTTTTGCTGTCACCCTCTTCTTTCTATGTCTTATTTTATTAATTCTAAATAATACTTGGTTAAGTAGAGAGAACTGGAGAAATGGATGGAAGTTTTCTGGAGAAAATTATGAAGTAATGTATAGTTCAATGATGTCGGAATGTGGTATCTACCTGCCTGTTAATGTCTGAATTCTAATTTTTTTTAAAGCTACTTTAAAAACTTACTTACTGATAAAGTCTTTATATAATATCCAATGGAGTTTTTCTTTGGATATTTATTAAATGGATTTCCCCCTACCTTCTCCAGAAACATTTGGAATGTGGGAGGAACAGAACAAACATGAATATTATTGCTTGACAAATTATAGATTTTTTTTTTTGCTAAAGATAATCAAGTAAAACGTATGTAGTTTATACTAAGTTCTTTAAGCAAGGAGAGCAAAAGATGTATACAACTAAGTTTTGATACTAGTTTTTTTTATATTTTATAATGCCAAAAGGTATTTTTCTCAGTTTAATAAAAAGATACAGTAAATTTTAATTTTTGGCACAGTAAAATTATATGAAAATAGCATAATTGTTATTATTTCCTGTTTCTTGATCAGTTTCCACTTGCAGTAGTAGAACTGCTGATTCTTTGAATACCGGAACTACTAATCCAATCCCCAAGAGAAATCCCAGTGCAGAATGGAATGCAATAGCAAACAGTTTTTATGATCCTTTTTTTCCCACAGAACACGTAAGTCAATTAAAATTATTGCAGAGCAGACCTTGATGAGCTAACTTCAGAGCTATGTATAGAATTGTATGCATCTTGATGCTTTAAGACTTGACTTGATCTCCACAATAATATCAAGAGGGCAAATGTGGCAACATTTTTCACAATTAAAGTTGATAGAAAACAGTGGGGGAAAAGTCACAGCATATAAATCAAATTGATGACAGCTTATTTGAAGACAAGGTCTACATAAAAAATTTTCAAGTAAAAAAAAATGAATACAGTATTTCTGTTTATTTTTCTAATTATCATTACAGATACAAGCAATTTGTAAGTCTGTATTAGATGTAATACAACTTATAACACTTTGACTTTATTTTCTTTTTTCCCCTACTTTCATTGTCTGATTGCTAAATCTAAAAGTAATGTTGAGTATGTTGTGCAGGCTTCTGTTTAAGCAACAGCATTCTTTAGAGTTGGAACAGAAGGGGGAAAATTATACCCATCTTACAAGAAAGGGGCATAAATCAATATAGTGCCAAGATTATTGCCCAGATATTAGCTATGCTATTCTTGTATAAAATAATATAATAAAAAATATGGCCACATAAAAACGTTGTTTGCCAAAAATGTGCAATATACTTCCTGGTAATAATATTAAGTTCAAACAACTAACAGAACCTGGTTCAAATCAAACTTCTAGATAGCCAGAACACTTTCAAAAGAAACTAAACTCATATTCAACAAACAGGTCTAAATTTTTTCAAGAGAATGAAGCTTCAGATTACATGGAATCAATGCTTAACCCAAGAAGCACTGTGGAAAGCAAAGCTCAGGCACTGTATGGGTCCAGAATGACCAAGAAGGCAAAGTTGAATGACCGGAGGAGAGAAAGCAAGCTTGCAGCCGCTTACAATGGCTAAAGGATATAGGCACTTCCTAACCTCTGATTGCAATAAAATGATCAAAATTGCAATTTGTATCCATAGCAAAAATTGTTGGGAGAAAAGGAAAACACAGCCTCAAAACTGGAGTACCTAACAACATTAAGCTGGTTTATGGACTGGGTTTTAGACTAAGGGAAAATCATGAGAATTTGGCATTTAAAAAAAAAACTTACTGGGGTATATTTGTGTATGTTAGCAGCAACTAAAGAGGGATTCCTATTTATATTGTTTGTTTGTACCCCCCCCCCTTTATTTTTACAAATAACTCAAGGCAACAAACATATCCAATACTCCTTCCTTCTCTTATTCCCCCCCCCCACAAACAACCCTGTGAGGTGAGTTGGATTTATATGTGACTGGCCCAAAGTGATCCAGCTGACTTTCATAGCAAAGATGGAAGTAGAACTCATAATTTTATGATTTCTACTTTGATGCCTTAACCAACTATTTCAAATTTCATAATTTTTAAACTAAAATCAGATTGCTCTACCTTCTCAGAGGCATGTTATTCTCCTGGTCCTGGTTCAAGTTTCAGAATACATGAAACAGCATCAGAAAACTTATGGTAAAGTTTGAACTTGTTTGAACTCAAGCTTCGAAAACATTTTGCATACTGTTATTTATATTAATCACCTTCTTGAAATAAATCAAAAACAGGAAATCAAAAAGATATAAAATTATATACTTGCAGTTAACCAAAAGTACATTTTGAATACTGTGTATCAGAACTCCAAAGAAAATCAAAGCAAGAAAACTGTAACATAGAAATGAATTCAATATCATTTGTATTCAATGGAGAATACTATATATAAAAAAACATAGTGGACAATCACTTAAATATGAGCCAGCAGTGTGCTGCAGCTGCCAAAAAGGCCAACAGTGCTAGGCTGCATTAACAGAGGGATAGAATCAAGATCACGCGAAGTGTTAATACCACTTTACAATGCCTTGGTAAGGCCACACTTGGAATACTGCATCCAGTTTTGGTCACCACGATGTAAAAAGATGTTGAGACTCTAGAAAGAGTACAGAGAAGAGCAACAAAGATGATTAGGGGACTGGAGGCTAAAACATATAAGGAACGGTTGCTGGAATTGGGTATGTCTAGTTTAACAAAGAGAAGGACGAGGGGGGACATGAGAGCAGTGTTCCAATATCTCAGGGGCTGCCACAAAGAAGAGGGAGTCAAGCTATTTTCCAAAGCACCTGAAGGCAGGACAAGAAACAATGGATGGAAACTAATCAAGGAGAGAAGCAATCTAGAACTAAGCAGAAACTTCCTGATAGTTGGAACAATTAACCAGTGGAACAATCAGCCTCCAGAAGCGGTGAATGCTCCAACACTGGAAATCTTTAAGAAGAAAATGGACAGCCATCTGTCAGAAATGGTATAGGGTTTCCTGCCTGAGCAGGGGCTTGGACTAGATGACCTCCAAGGTCTCCTCCAACATTATTATTATTATGATGCAGTTATATAACTGCAATTTTCATGCAGCCCTCCTCACATTTTTGAATAGCCTGAGTCTCTTTCAATTGCTATTACATTACGGTAGGATGCAAAGGCACCCCCACCTGCCATTATAGTAGCAGAAAGTCACAAAACTCTAACCAACTGTTTAAGGCGAGTTAGAGGAACAAAAACATCATCACAAAATTACAATTCAAAATGAGTTCAACAGGCTTGTGTATTGCAGCCACACCCAAGATTAGGTTCCTGAGTTTCCTAGAATATTCAACTTTGTATGTTCCTGCTTCTGTTGCTTCTTCCATAATTGAGGATTGGGAAGACCTAGCATGGTGGTAATGTATGAGAAGGATCAAGGAGGATTAGTGGATCATCAGCTGAACAGGAATAAGCAGTGAAGATCTATACAAAACGTGTACCATCTTGGCCTACATTAGAAAAAATACTGCATAAGGATCATAAAAGTAATAGCACCATCATGGCCAGCATTGTGCAGTGCATTTTAAAAAGGGGCATGAAGAAGCTGAAGGAAGTTCTGAGGAAAGCTACCAGGATGATGTAGAGTCTGGAAACCAAGTCCTGTACGTTAAAAGAGCTGGGCGTGTTTAGCTTTCCAAAGAAAAGACTACAGGGAGACACGATCATGATCTATAGATATTTGAAAGGGTTTCCTTTGCAGATGGTAGCAATGACTTTTTCTATGGGAAATAAGAAAATATTCATACTGAAGTTACAAGATTTGGTAGAACTTTCTTAATGGCAAGAACTGTTAAGCAGTAAAACAATCTGCCAGGAACATTGGGGGTTTCTCCATGCTTTAAATAAGGTTTGGGTAGCTATCTTTTGGAGATGATTCAGTGGTTTCCAGTATTAAGGAGGGTTTCACCAGATGATCTATATCATCTTTCAGCTTATCCATTTTATATTCTATACCCCAAAGAAAAGTTATGTAAGAATGTCCAATGTCAGACACAATGTTGACACAACTTAATGGGTAGAGAAAGTCCTCATGCTGGTGAGAGAAAATGCTGTCGCTGATACTGGGTCAATATCATTTAGTTTTAATCCTACATATTTTTACATGTGCTGTATGTGCTATTTTATTCATTTATTTGCTCAGTTTTGACTGTTATGTTTATAATTTGAAGGTGTTTCTGATATGAATAAAGAAAGACACAATAATCTTAAATTACTATAAATAGAGTAGTGTTTGAAAATCTAGTCCAACAATAATTCAGAAGAGTCAGTTTAATTACCTTTTATAAACTGCATCAGGGACATGCCTGAGATACAGTTATATTACAGTATAATACACCCAAATAAATATCAGAGATTCTAGCTTATTTTTTCCTAATATATAAAAATACTTAACAGAAAAATGTATGGCTGTCCTTTAGATACATCGTAGAGCAATCAGGCATACAAAACGATTTCTAATATTGTATATTTACATTTTAGGCCACAACAGAGATTCTGTTACAGCCGCAAATGAAGTCAATACAGCTTCTGCTCTCTGAAGTCAATACAGCTACTGTAAAAGGGAACTTACATAGCATTGAAGATGGGAATTCACAAAATGTCTTCATGGACACCCAAATCAGTAAAACTGAAAACTTATTGTATTTAGAAAAGCTCTGCCAGTCCAGAAAGAGAAAGTATGAATATTTGGAAAAAACAGCGATATCAGGAAAAATGGAAATGTAATTGTTCCTAAATGCATGTCTTTGGCTGTTCTCATGCTTCTGTTACATTCAGTGCTAAAAATAACCTCTTGTGAAATGAGAAAAGTTGAACTGCTCTGGTAATTGCAAAAATCCTTAATTTTTCTCTATTCTCCAAGTGGGGATTGACTATTGGGAGATATGTATACATGGGTTTCTTTTAAAACTTTTTTTTCACTGCTAATCATTAGGGGGAAATGAATGCAATCAAAATGAGGGTACTAAATGTAAATTAGTTCTCAAGCTAATCTCTATTTTCATAGTTCAGAATCCTAATACAGTATATCTTTGGAGTTTTCCAAACTTAGAAATGACCTCTAGCTACCACAGAACATTATTATTTTAGAAAAAAAATAGTTATTGAAATATTAGAAAATACTTGTAGCTCGGGTTTTAGATTTTGGCAGTGGTTTGCTCTCTGAGCTTGTTTTTAGTTTTTAGTTCTGGAATGTTTCATTACCAGACTAGATAACAGCACCAGTGGATTTATTTATTTATTAAGTCAGCCTGCTACTTTTTTGTCTCCCATTTTACCTCACAGTAAGTATTATTAAGATGATAAAAATGGATTTTATTACTTCTGCTGCTACATTTAAACAAATTTGCAAGGCAAGGTAATGCATTAAAATTCCACTGTTGTTTAGTACGTCAATAAAGAAATCCACAGAATTAAGCCGAATGGTTTATTGTCATCCATTTTCAATGAGATAAATCAATGAAGAATCAAGTATCCGACAAAGTAAGAAGACTGTTTTTCACTTGATTTAAATTTTGTTTCCAGAAGTTCAGAGTGTCATATAACTGCTGCCACTGCTGTTTTCCAAAGGTCCGATATGTGCTGTGACTAAAGAAATGTAAAAAAATAATAAAGTAACAAAAATCTTACTTTTCATACATACCTACTTAGAAAATATAAGATAGAAATCTAGATTTTTTTTTAAAAAAAACCCCTTTTCACTCTGCTTAGCGCGCATCAGCTACTCTAGGATTCTGTAGCCTTCAGTTAAAAACCATTATACAGTACTCATTAGTATTCTTGCCACTGTTTGGCCATTAAATGAAATGTGCTGGAAAATAGGACTCTTTCATTAAATAAGCTAATCACATTCAGTCTGAACTTTAATAAAATTATGATAAATAGCAACTATTTAACTACAGGAAACTGATAAGAATTATATTACTTCTAGTTAAAATATTAAGCAGATATGTATAAGTGCTATACTCAGGACCGCATTATGTGGGTTCAGAAAAAGACTAAGGACTCACCTGACTATCACTTTTCTCTGAGTTTGATCAAGTTTGCAATGCACCATCTTTGTTTTCACAGCTATAAAAGAAAACAGAATGAGATATAACAAATTCCTTTTAAAATTAGAAAAAAATATCTTTGTAGTACTCTGTATTCTTTCAATGGGGGTTTATTTCAATCCAGGAAGGATTATTACAAGGAAGTATTTTATACATTAATTTATTTAAAATAAATACAATATGCATTTTTTTATTTCTATACATTCTGCCATAAAATACATATTTTAACAAAAATTAATTATATTTGGCATGCTCATACAACTGATAAATGTTCAACAGAAGTGAATTATACTACTTTAACAAATTACCTTACCATCAATAACAAATGCTTCCACATCATCAGCTCCTATCTGAAGTTCCTGCTGCATGGTGTCAAATGAAACTTCCTTATTTTCTACTGCCATTCCCATGAAGGTAAGCAATCTCATTTTTGCCATGTTCTGTTCATGCAACAGACCTATGTTAGAGAATATTGAGATGTAATTACTTCCCTGTAGATGCTGACAAATGATTTTCTTATAACATGATTTAGGAAAAAAAATCCAGTTTTTATAATAGATTCTTTTCATAAATTGCAGAGATTCATGAAACACCACAGTACCAACACACCAATGCATACAAAATGTAAGCACTATTTTAACACTGTTATAATGCTCTTGCAATTCTAATACAGTGAGCACCTCTGCTAATTTGAGTCCCAATTTAATGCTTATACAACCCTGCCAGAGCACTGGTAGATCCTCAAAATATAAAGTTCCTCAAAATATAAGGCAGGCAAAGAAAAATCTCAAGAAAAGTTAGGAAAAATAGGACCGCCTATTATTTTTCTCTTGTCCAAAGTAGCCTTGAAAACTGCTGCATAAATATCCATTATCAGGGTTATTTTTATGCCATAAAATATTACTCATTGATTAGATCCAATTAAATTACTGAAAGACAGCAATCTTACAAAAAAAATGAAACAAGAAAAGATTTGATTAGGAGAAATAAGGTAAAAAGCAAAACAAAAATGGGAGTGTGGATATTTTTGATTTGAAGAGATGAAAAACTAGTAATTATAAAGTATAGCAAAGAAACTGCATTAGGGTAGAAAATGAAATCAGATCAGAGATGGAGATATTTAAAAAAGCAGTGACAACGTGCTAATGCAATTCACATGGTAAAGAAGCTAGAAAATTGCTTGGCAACGGGCATGCCAAAGAAAGAAAAGTAAGAAATCTACACAGTTAAAATGTGGTATGAGTTATAAAAAGAAGAGTTAATTTCACTGTTTTCTTATGCTAGTGTTACATGAGAGGAAAGTGTTTTGCTGAATTATATATATATGTTACTGAGCATTGAGAGAACTTAGATAAATATTTCATTTATAAATTAATACATGAAATATCAAGTATACAGTAAATACATTTCTATGCCTCATCCAGCATCAAAGAAAACCTGCTTGTGTAATAGATCTTCCTTTCCAGGCCTCCCAAATATGAAACCAATTTGTCTTGTATAAGGAATTGTACAGGAAAGCCATTCCACTATTTCAAAGTTATAGTTGGATATCACTTTTATATGTCAATTTTTTTCTATCAATTTGCAACTGAATAAAACTATTGTAACAATACATACAATTATATTTTAGAAATTGCCAAAGCAAATCCAAATGCACAACAAATATTTATATTTGAATTAATAATATTGTTATATTAATTTAAGAGCAGTAAGCACATTACTACCAGACCCAATGCTGCATTAATTAGCAATAATTATGATGCAGACTATTTATCTGGCACAGATTCAACAAAAATGTGATCATCATAACTCAACCAAACAGGGTGATTCAGAAACTACAGTTAACTGGGCTTAATAGAAATCTACAAGCACCAAAAATCAATTAGTTGTGCATAAACTCTAATTAACAAATGCAAATGAAGCATTAATTACCCCTTTAAAAGTAAAAAGGTTGCCTCTTATCTGTATGATGAGATTCAAATGTGAACATGTTAGGGTGATTCACAGTTGACACAAGATAATACAACTGTTGGCCTAACCTGTCAACATTAATAAGGCAGTGCATTGTAACAAACAGGTGCCACCTGTGGGAGCCTTTCCTGAACAGATTTTATAGCTTCGTGTGGCTTGTTAATAATTTTGAAACAAGGGGAGAGGAGTAAGTAAAAGAGGATGAAAAATAATTTTTAAGCTTAGAAATATTAAAAGTATCTTAATTTTTTATGGAATTCTTCACATACCAGGTGAATTAATAATTGTAGGTGGGTTAAATGAATTGACAAGAGGTATCAGATGCATTCTGTGCAATTCCCAGTATCTTAATATTTCAAAACAGCAAATGTAGCCTATTTATTACTAATGTATAAAGGTAACTGGTTCAGTTTATTATATAAGCTTAATATACTTGGTTTACTATACAGATCTAGCAGAGGCTTCTTTTAATATAATAGGAAATGATATTACATTTGGCCAACTTCTTCTCTACCTGAGCCCTCATTGCCATCTTTAGTGCTTCTGGAGATCTCAAACTTTTGGAGAAAAATAGACCATAGCCAGGACAGAGCTGCAAAAGTCACTATTCTACTTTGTTTCCTCCAAAGTCAACAACACTATTGAAGGGCAAATGTACAGATCTAACCCAATGTCTTCAAGTGGACATAGTACAATATTATTTAAAAAATTCTATTGTATTCATTAGCTGGTTTAGAACTACATTTTTTCATCCACTGGAACCAAATTGTATTCTAGAGACTAAAACCCACAAAAATATTAAACCCTGATTTTATGAAAATATTTATTCAATACTAGTATCCCTAAATTGTAATGCAGCAATATAAAAGACTGCATCACTGAACAATTTTTGCTTTGTCGCTGACCCTTGTCCTAAAATGCTGCAATACAGAAAAAGTAATTTTCATGCATGCAATTACTTATGAACCAGTGCTCCTTTGAAACAGTCAATTACACACCAATGGGGGAGTGTCAAAGTGTTAATTACTACTCCTTTTCTTTCCATGGTGTATAAATAAAGAGGGTGCTGACATTAACATTCCATCACAAAGCTTCATCCTATGAAACATATTAACTGTGATAGAATGCGGTTTGATAGGTTTTAATACATTCGAAAAAGCTTAAGCTTGCATAAGAACACTTACAAGTATTTAATTTTACTGTACTTTAGTACCTTAATGGTTTCTTAAACAATGTTTGCACACAAAAGACAGGGTAGGACATCCTGTAACCAGCACTAAACTCCAAGACTATGTTAAAAGAAATTCTTAGTAACAAATGAACATTTGGGAGGGGGGAACCAATTCTACCCGCTGTGAATAATAATTGTCCTAAACCTGATCACTTCCAAAGAACAATGCCTGAATTTTTAGGTGCTGTAATTGTAGACTAAATATATTTGAAGGCTGTGAATTAGGGAACTGTTGATCTAGGACATGCAATCTGAGTTCCTTTACAAAGTTTTCAAATTATCTATAGTCTATAGAAAGGCAGATTCATTTCTTTATATATAGTCTATAGAAAGGCAGATTCATTTATTTATATGTAGTCTATAGAAAGGCAGATTCATTTCTTTATATGCCTGTTTACTTTGAATGATCCCAACTAATATTTTAGGGGGGGGAGGTTTAAAATAGTTTATTACTGCAATATGTGGCATAGATATACAAAAATTGAAATCCCAATTCTAACATTTGATATACAAGGATAATACCAAGTAAGCAATTGTTAAGGCAGATTTTCATTTTGATACACTTTTGGACATTCTGCAATTGAAAAATAAGAAATAAAGGTAAATCACACCTGTGAGGAAGCTAAAAGTAGTATATTCAGTGATGCATCTGAGTCTTATCTTGCTTAGTTAGCTGTAATATACATGATTACAGGAAGATAACTGGATCATAGGTCTTACTGGTGAAAACAGAGGTGGAACAATTCCTCTGCAAACAGAAGTTATTGCAGCCTACTGCAGAATAAAGTGAAGTATCCCATTCTTAACACTCTTTCCTGAATAGGCTGGGATAGGTTAACTTCATAATAACAACACAGATTTAAGAAGCACATAAAAAGAGGATAATAACAAAATTCTTACCAAGAGAGTCAATGAAGTCCTTGTTATTTTGATAAAAACGGACATAGGATGCTAACTTGGCACTTACAAAAATGGTCAAAAGCTACAAAAAAAGAAATTCTCAGTAAGTCT